AAGAGCATATCTTAACTTGCTGTGGTATCACAGCTGTGTTCACCAGAACAAATAAAGGGGATTAGGGCAGGACATCAGGCCAGCTTAACTAACAATTGAAAACAGCAGTGGGAACAGTTGAGCAGAACATAATGGAGCCATAAATAATTCCAGTGGTCACCATCTGAACCACTAATGTTCAACAACTAAAGAGACATGCTCAGTCTTCATTAAGAGTCTCCATGTATAAAGACACCAAATGGCTAGACCTCACCTGACAATAAAGGAAGCTTCACCATGTATCAGAGTAATCTGTGAAACTATGAAGGCTGATAACGTCAGAGAAAAAAACTCTTCAAGGTAGTGTTTGGTCAAACAATATGTAATTAAATAGGGACCAGATAAAAGATGTGATCCAGTAATGAAACCAAAGCAGTGTATTACAGTATCTGAGTAATGCAATACCCCATGGCTTTTAGTCTTACCTCACTGTTGGTCTACCATTTGATAAGTGCATTATCTAGAGAACCATTATGGACCCCAGTGTTAAACATGATACCATTATTTGAGAATCTGAACTTCTGATTCAGGTATCATTGATTATGTTGCCTCTGACCACATCCACAGGTCCAAAAACAACAGTCCTGCAGAGATGGTGCTGATGCACGATATACAATCGTATGTTTGAGCGAAATTGAGACGAATTCAACCCAAAATTAGTATGAATAATGGAAACACTCTCAAAATCAGCCTTTTGGCCTCTGGCCGGTTGTTTTTTGGCTGCCTGAAGTGACTATAGTGTGATAAGTTTGCTATCCATGTTATGTAGCCCAGAGGGTGACTCTTCTTCGCTCATAAATGAGACTGTTAACTTTTATATACCCCATAAACTTAGATTGTTGTGGTGGCAGACCAGTGTTGTTTATCTTGAGAGCAAAGATGCAATCAGAGCTTTGAGATGTGACTGACTTACCCACTTGAACACTGGTAAAACAAACAGGGGTAAAGAGCACAGACTGGTAACTCTCTTTGCTATTGGTTTGACATTGTGTCATATCAAAAGACCACCTGGAGAGTCTTGGTACAAAGAACTTTACTATAAACTATAATATTATAAACCCCAAACTCAGCAACAGCTGATCCACAGCCAAGGGATGAAATTCAGTGACTAACTAGGTGACACCTCAGCTAACAGCACCCGCTTAAGTGACTTTAGTGACAGCCACACTCAGCTGTTGAAAAATCTGCCGCTACTGGCACTTTTATTTTGGCTTCAGTTTCAGAGATTGATTTTTTTTTTGCCCAGTAAAAGGTCACATAGTAGTTATAAAATTACAGATATGAGGACACATCCAGCACTATTGTGCATGAGGAATATTGAGGTTTTATTGGTGCTGTTGGGGACGACTGTGGTTCGATTCTGGTGGAAACATGGCACTTCTTTTAGCCAAAAAAAGAATAAAAAAAAAAAAAACATGGAGGAATTGTTTTTCAGCAGTCTGTTGGCAGCTGTTTGTGTTGTATTACTTACAGATGAAAGACTCCTTGATGGTGCAATTTTCAAAGAGTCGTCCACAGCACACATATTGTAGTATTTTGGCTCTCACTGTTAAAATAATATCTGTACCACCAGTGTGTTAAATCATTGCATTTCTGTTGACCCTTTTTTGCCTGAAAGACTGCATTTTGAGCTATCTAACAACTACGCCAGCCTCTTGTCTATCATGTCTGCCCTTGCCTTTCTCATATTCAGCTAAATAAATTGGGTCCCATGATTCCTGGTGAATTTTTTATTTTATGAGCCAGCATGCTGCTTCAGAAATGTAATGCCATTTTTTAAGGACCGTGCTCCATTCCTATACAGACAGAGAACAGTCCTTACAGGGAGAGCTTGAGGCGTGACTTGGCAGAAACCCTGAAATGTTTCCAGGCCAGAAAACATCCATATGGAGGAGATGAAGCAGTGACCTCTAAGACAAAAACCAAGGACAAAAATGAGGCAAACAAAGATTTCTTCACAGTTTCTTAGATAGAGATAAGTCTCCTTCGTGGATGCATGCATGAGTTTGTGTGTGTGTGTGTGTGTGTGTGTGTGTGTGTGTGTGTGTGTGTGTGTGTGTGTGTGTGTGTGTGTGTGTGTGTGTGTGTGTGTGTGTGTGTGGGCCAGTCCATTTGTACTGTCAGCATAGTCGACTTGCATTTGGCCACTCCAATGTGTTCAGTCTTTGTTCATTTAGCTGAGTCTGAGTACACAGGGCACTGCGGAGCAACAGCACAGCAGGCTCCTCACTTCAGTTAATTATTCCAACTTATAAGTGGAAGTTACAGGATCCACAGAAGTCTACCCCACAAATGAAAAAGACTAATAAGATAGACACATTTTGACTCAGTTCCTCATTTGGTTGATTGAGTTAATCTTAATGATTTCCTAAACAAAAACATCTGCTGACTAAATCAGTGAAAAAAATTAAAGCACATTATATAAAGCAGTTTCTCAAATAAGTCAGTGCTTCTCTAATGATCTTTGTAAGGTCTTTGCACCGCCAAGGATGGTCAGGGTGTGGCATATGTTTACCTTGAAATCCAGTATCAGTAATTCAAAAGTATGACAATCTATAGTTGATAAAATATACTGGAGGATAATGCTGTTTTTTTTACAACATACATTTATCAAAAGAAATTATTCAAGTATGACACCTCAGAAGAATGAAGAACCTGAGAATATCTGCAGCACTCTGCCCCAGCCCAGTTTTCAATCAGGCTTTATAAACTAAGTACAGAGAGTGACTTTTTATTTCTTTAGATAACTCTCAGGTAAAAACAGACAAGTTAGTGTCATGTAATGATGAAGAGTGGACATGATCATCATATAATGTGCTGTGGATAGTTTATTTTAAGTGCTATTGCAAATGGGGTAGGCAGGTGGTTAGAATTCCTGCTGTGATAAGGCATTCATACTGAAAATTAAAAGATGTTGAGGCCCGGAGAAAACACCATCAGTAATCATACTGTCGTCTTTCCAAACTTTGGAAAGTCTCTAAGTCAATTTAATGTAGTGGACTTTTAAGTTGGGTACTACCAAAAAAAAAAGCAAACAAACAAACAAAAAAAAGGCAAGACATCAAAACATGATTTCATCCTTCAGATGTATGGATTATGAGTATTTTATAAAGGTAGCTACTGTATGTATATTTACATTTTTTGAACAGGGCAGATTTAGAAAACAGAATACAGAGAGATATACAAACCTACACCCACACCTGAATCGATGTTACATAAACAGACTATAACACTCAGAAAAGAACATGACTTTTCCACTCATCATGTGTGAGGGTGTAATCTCAAGCCTTGAGAATTTGCTCAGCCTCTCAATAGCCTGTTAATCCCTGTTGAATGGATACATTTATTAGAAATCACTGCTACAAGAAGCTTCAATGCTTTTAGAGTAAACTGACACCCCAGTCTCTGTTTGTGTGGTTCAATGACTCCGTGCTCTGACAAAGGCTTCCATGTTTGTTCTGTTGACAAAGACAATATTTACCAGAAGGGAGTTAGAGTAAAACACACATTCAGAAAAAATCAATCATGGCATAGTTTATTAATATGATTTTATTTAGATGATAACATTTTTAGAATTATTTATTCAAATTTCTTAAAATCAGAGTAAATCTGTTCACTGTGAAAACAATTCAATTCAACCTGTTAAAACATATGAATATAGGTTAAATATGATAAGCTGTAGATCACTGGTTCTCAAGTCCAGTCCTCGAGGCCCACTGTCCTGCATATTTTGGATGTTTCCCTGCTCCAACACACCTGATTGAAATGATCAGCTCGTTATCAAGCTCTGTAATGGCTTAATAACGAGCTGATCATTTGAATCAGGTGTGTTGGAGCAGGGAAACATCCAAAACATGCAGGACGGGGGGGCTCGAGGACTGGACTTGAGAACCACTGCTGTAGATCAACCAAGATTTATTCAGTTAAAATTGATGAGACAGAAACCAACTGGATTTATCAAGGATTGATACATAAATCTTCAATTCCTATTCTAAACACATTGGGTTAATTGGTATTATTAATTAAGTCTAATTCTTCACTTTTTCATTTACATAAGGCTGACAAATATGCAGCAGTTTTTTAAATCAAAGTAATTCAAATGGATGGATTTTTTTATGCAATAAGACCTCAATATTTCTCTGGTGAATGATGGGATATACAGGCTAGACTTCAATGATAACCAGCTTCTCCTTTCTCTTTGAAAAAACATGCCAAACCAGTAAATGAACTGTGAATCTGTTGGTGAGGCTTCCATAATGGCCAATGGAGGGGATTTCTTGCTCTTGTTTTACCCAGTCATATTACTAAATCCAGCTTTAATGTTTCAGCTGTAAATTGTCTGAATTATCAGAAAAACCTTCCAACTGCTGTCCCCTCTTTTTCTTGTTCATTGCAGCCGTTATTCAACAATGACTGACAAATTTTGTTTACAAAAATTTTCTTTCCAATTTATTTGATTCTGAGTCAGATTGTTAAACAAGAAAGCCCAAACAAAATTAAAACTTAAAAAAAATCAAATCAGACACATTATGTTACTTGAACAACAACAAACTTTTATGCAGTCTTAATCATTTTGTTCTTTTTCTTAGAGAGTGAACTAACAGAGTTTTTCTTGTTTTTTTTCCAGGGGTGAAAACTGAGGACAAGGTCTAAGGACTCGACTAGCAAACCACCAAAGTCAAACAATCAAACAAGGACCTGAGTCAAACACAAACTAACAAGAAATTTTCTCTCTCAAGTTTAATCTGCTTGATATTTTTCCTCCTGACAAAAAACAGCTGAAAAAGCTGAATATCAACCCAGGTGAATTTCTGAATGCTGGATGTTGATGCTATTATTTGGGATTGGAAGTAAAAGTGAGTGAAATTAAACATTTTATCTACATGTCGGTCTGAAAAACCAAAGCAGACATACCTTCAAGCCTTTAGCTTTGAGAAAAGCTGTTAGCTCAGTAGGCCAAGATGGCTGACCCCTACCAAAACAACGCATACCACCAGGGAATGGGAGACGGTTACGGGACATATGGAGAAGGCGGCGGCCATGATGGATATGGTTACCAGGCAGACTACCCTCCACAGGAAGAGGATGCAGCGAGTGATGCTACTGAAGGACATGATGAAGAAGATCAGATGTACGAGGGAGAATATCAAGGGATCCCACATCCAGATGACGTGAAGGCTGCACAGAGAGCTGCACGGTGAGAAACAGAGAATGTATCCAAGACTACTGGTCTTAAGGTCGTACTGTTATCTATTTCACCCTCAATCATAGATTCACAAAGTTAGAGAAGTTCTCTCAATCTGTAGAGACTCTGCTCTGGATTAGCTGAGGAAAACACATATCTATTATATTTTTTCCATCCTTCTTTTTCTTTCCTTTTCCTCTTAATAGGACTAAAAGTCACACAGCGAGCAGTGCAGCTTCTGAGCTTGCAGAGTTATCTGAACAGTACGAGGACATCATGGAGGACTGTGGACACGGCAGGTTCCAGTGGACGCTCTTCATGGTGCTGGGCCTCGCCCTGATGGCTGATGGAGTAGAATGTTTCGTGGTCGCCTTTGTTCTGCCGTCTGCAGAAAAAGATCTGTGTCTGTCCAACGCAGAGAAAGGAATGTTGGGTAAGGGCTTTAATGATTTATTGTTGTGTGTGGTGTCATTGTGAGGAGAGTTTTTGTGCTGCTATCAGCAGATTAGAGTTGTGTTTTGATGTCCTGATGTGATGGTTCTCTGTAGTTGGTCTAAAGCTGCCTGGAGAGAAGAAAAAAGCTGCCTGTGTGTCCTTTTGAGATTTTGACAAAGAAACACATCGATGAGATGCTTTAAACAACACATGATCATTTGCATGCAGAAAATGTCTGACCTACACAAAAGAAGTGAGTGTTCATTATTTCTGGGAGGCCATTTCTAGCATTCAAGGCAGAGTGCATAAGCAGCATTTGAGGGTCAAAGGTCAAACCAAGGATTGCAAATTGAAAAAAAAAAAAACATTAAATACATAGAGCCCATTTAAAAGATTTTTTCTTCCCTCAGTTTCATGCTGTACAAAACTGTTCTTGTTTGATTTTGTAGACTTATGCTGCTGAGAAGGGACGGCTTTAGAACATCACCTCTAATCTGACAGATAAATCACAAACAAAACCTCTGTTAGGTACAGCAGCACATTTCTTTGTGTTGGCAGCTAAGGATCCTCAGAGCCTCTCTTTATCTTCCTCTCCTCTTTCATCTTCTCCTCCCTCACACCCCCTCAGTTCTCCCACCTGTCCTCGCTTTGGTCCAGAGGCGTGATTTCAACAGGACTGTGTTTCTTTGTTTGTGTGAGTCAGCAGACACCGTCAGAGTGATCGATTCTCTGACCTTGGAAAGAGCTGAACAGTATTTCAGAGACAAAGTTTGGAAACAGATGTAAATCATAGCCATCCTTACTAAGCTAAAGGGCCATAAGCCAAAGTTTGGTTGCAGTGAAAGCCTGCACGTGGATTTATGTTGGAGTGATGTGTGTCTTTTTTAAGTATGCAGACTGGGTTTTGTATTTTGAGAACCGGTAAGATTAGTCGCGCAGTCAGCTCTCCCCTGTTGCATGGCCATCTGCAGACTGGGCTGTACCGCTGCCAGCATGCCGCTCTCTGGCACAAGTTAGGGTTACACTTGGCTGAGGCAAAAGCACAATGCTCATCAAGGTCTTAAAATTTCCAAATCAAAATGAACAGTGTGCTGTCATTGGTGTATGAAAATCAACTTGGCTGTCTAAAACGACCAGATGAAAAGATGGCTTGTGTCAGGTATTGATGCACAAAGTTACACTGCTTGGAGGTTACTATTACAAGTGCTCGACTACCATTTCAGACTGACTGAAATCATTGCCAGATGAAAAAAGTGCTAAAGCTTTTAAGTCATATGTTGTATTTTTTAAAGCTCCTGAAAGGAATGTTTAATGTGTATTGTTTTGGCACCCCCTTTGGGCAAAGCAAACTTTGCTTACCTTTCTCTCTTTGCTTAAATAGAGTCTTCTGACTAAAAGAAACATTATTCTGACTTCAACAGTCACAATCGTCATTTATTGTTAAAATTTTTTGGTGAATACTGCAAAAGCAACTGCTTGACACCTAACCACCCATACTGGTTTCAGACATTAAAAATGGCAATAAAAAAATCATCAGTCTTGTTTGTGATGTTCTTGTTTGCTTCCATGTATCTTAAGTGGGAAGTAAATTGACTTTCAGTCTATTTCATAAATGAAAAAAAAAAGTTTGGGTCCTACATTACATATGAGGGGTCAGTAAATTAAAAAGTTTTATCATTGCAGTTTAGCCTTATACTGTTTGTTGTTTTGGGTCATTTGCTGAAATGACCCCAAAAAATGACAAAAGTGTGTTTTTTATATGAAATAAAGTACCCAGTGTGTAATAGGTTAAAGATACAGCAGGGAGTGTTTAAAAAATAATTATAACAAGAATAAAGGAGTAAATTTTGTAGGCTTGAAAACAATGATCAATATCCCTTTTCCTTAAACAAGTATCTCTTACATTTGAGTCAGTAGGTTTATTAATTAGTTCATCTATACATGCTGGATGTTGGACTTTGATTCATCTTCTAACATCGAGGCAGGAGAATGATTTATGAAGCAGGAAATTCGTTTTTGAAAATATTTTTTCGAGAACATTTACAGATTTTTTTCACTTTTCATTTTTGTGGTTTATGCCATCCTCCCATCAGTGAATGTTGGATCTATACGGTTCTTTTCTTGTGCAAAGGAACCCAATGCACAGACATCAGAAGTAATTTCACACTTAACTTACTTATATTTATGAACGTCATGAAGATATGGTCCTTTTTCTATCTTGTGAAACAGGCAGGTTTGTCACAGCCACCAGCCAAGCTGAGGTGGGAGGGTGTGAGCTCTGAGGATGCTGGTTGTTGGTTGTTGTTAGCATCACAACCTCTTTTTGGTGATGAAATGCTTGGTTACCATTTTGAATTGATTCTCATATCACTCATACAATGTCTGCTAGCAGACTTTAAGCATTAGGTAGTAGGATGAGTTAAAGCTGTAGTGGGTAACTTTTGTCACCCCCAAGAGGATTTCTGCGTTATTACAAGACAGCCAGCATCTCAATATGATGTATGCACATCACACACAGAAACACTCACCAGACACAACATACTGTTCATCACTTTACACAAAGTAATACTGGCTACAAAATGTGTACTGCTCTGCAACACGGGCTACACACCTTGTAACTTGCTGCTCGTTAGGCTAACATTACACAATGTGGTGAAGACTAGGCTGCTAACAGTACATTACATACATAGCACCATTTCCAAGAAAATAATAAAGTACTCGGTCCAGTACATGTAACAGCAACACATCCTGCTCATAATGAACAGACTCACTTACATCGGTGTCAGACCTCAATCTAATCTCCTCTTTCAGAGCTCTCCATCGAGGAAAAGCAACACCGATGCAAATCCACATTAGTCTTCTCTGTTTGTGTCTCTCTTTCTTCGCCAACAGCCCTTTACCAAACGGGATAGCTTTTTCTTTTTAGTAGGATCAACTTCTGAACCTCTTGGTCACTTTTACAGGTTCTCTGCCATTTTGCTTCTAGCAGCTCTCTCCTTCCCCCTTTCTTCTCGTTGTCAGGTAACACCAAGTATAACGCGTCATTTCCTGTGAGTCAGCGCAGGAATGTCACCACCGACACCAAATACAAAAAGAACAAAAACTGAAAAATACCATGAGTTGTTAGAGGAGCCTAATGGCTTAATCAGCATTGTATTAGCTCCTCTCGTAGTGGCTTGGGTGAAATGGATATTCACAGACATGTAGAAGTTACGCACGATAGCTTTTAAGACCCTGTAAGGAACTTTCTGCTTGTGTTGATTTTAGCAACCTAAGCGAACAGGATTTATTGTTGCTGATAACTCATCAAAAACTCCCCACAGTAGCTTTAATGTGTGCTTATTAATTGTATTATCTGTTGGCAGGTGTTTGAGATCTATTAGTCTGACAGGAGTAAGGCGTATTCCAGCATCTTGAATAATTAGAAAGAGGTATATGAAAACCACAGGAGGAGAAATCCTCCCTCTTATTTGTACCCTGGATAAACCACAACTCATGATGCAAAGATGGCCTTTGTTAAAACAACAGATCTTACTCGTTGTAGATGTCACCTTTCCAGCCTTTTCAACATTGATCTCACTGTTTTCAGTTTTCTCGTCAAATCTGCTTCACTGTTAATGTTGACCAAACTTGACTGTGACTGGACATTCATGACTTTAAGACTGAATTGTAAAACTTGAGATGACTGGCCCTTAGAACAGTCCGATATTTACTAACTTTTTTTAAAAGGACTGTATGCCTGCCTGTTATTGTTGTGTGCGCTCACCTGTGTTCTCTCTTTCTCTCTCTCTCTGTGCAGGTCTGGTGGTCTTCCTCAGCATGATGGTGGGAGCGTTCTTGTGGGGTGGACTGGCGGACAAAGTTGGTCGTCGGCAGTGTCTGATTGTGGCGTTGGCCATAAACTGTATCTTTGCCTTCCTGTCCTCCTTTGCTCAGGGCTATGGCTTCTTCCTCTTCTTCAGGCTGCTGTCCGGCATCGGGTAATTCTCTCAAACGCTCACAATGTAGTAACCACAAATATGATACTGTATGATTTTATATGGTACGATACAATAAGAATTGGTGATGTTTCCTTTGCCTGTAGTTAACAGTAGGAAGTAACCTAAACTAAATGGCTTTGCAAGATCTTGCAAAAGTTTTTCCTAATAACCCTTTTTTGCTTCCATGTTCTTTAAAAAGCTCTGTATCAAAACTTTGGAGGACCAGAAAAAAAAATTAGTTTTTTTAGGTGCAGTTGGGGAATGCATGCTTTTTGTATCTCAAACTTCATCTTCCAGAGTGTAGGTGATCTTGTTGAGATGATTCATACCACTGGCACCATTATATGGCACAGCTGTGAATATTGAGAATACATTGTGAATTGACTATAAAGCACACTCAGGTCAAAGGATTTTAGATGTACTCAAGAGCCACCAATGCGATAATTTGCTATGGCAGCATCTGTCTGCCTTTCAGAGGCTCGAAAAGTGTCATACCGTGTTTTCTGCCATTAATGCAGCTTTTGTCAATATGGAGATCAGCTAACAAATCAAGCCCTACACAGTTCACGTTCAGAGTGCGGTTCATGTTTCATTGCAGTGATACAGCAAAGTGTTCCTTCTCAGAATAACTATAGTCCCCAGAGAGCCTCACTGACTCAGAAACGAGGTCACAGAGTGAGCACAGCACAGTGGAAGTGATACACAGTTTGCACCACAAAAACTGTTTGTCTTATAGGCAGATAATTCATCATCAGGCATGCTCTGTTCTGCATATAGCATGCAGAAATACAGTATGTAGCATGCTTTTTGCTCGAACATGAGAAGGGGTGTAACGAAATAGTCAACTTACCAAATGATACGAGGCTCACGATACAAAATACTCACAATGCGATATAAATATATATCTGTGGGTGCAGCTGATGATGCGTTTTTTGGTCTTTTAAAATCCCTCATCCTCAACAATGAAAATGGTTTCATATCACAGTGTTTTCTCTTTTGCTTACCGACTAGAAGCTAGAAGCAGTACAGTGAATGACTTCTGGAAAGTTGTTTAATGTTTTGATAACTGTTTTTAAGGCAGTGAAGGCAACGTTAGCTTGTCTCTGTGATAGCATAGTTAATGGCATCAATAGAGTTTGAATAAAGTACATTTTAGCATCATTTTCTTGCCTCATTGATTGAAAGCCAAAATTACTCCACACAAGCGACTTCTGAGTCAACCAAGTTTCCATTGGGGGTTAGCAGTAGTACAATATCCCAATATCTGTAATTTGCTGAATTTTTCTCTCACTTTTGAAGATTAAAACATGGAGCCTGTTAGAGATGAGATCCCACACATCAAATGGTACCATCAAATGTCAACATAAATAGGGTGTGCACTCAAGAGAAAAGCTGTTGCTTTCAGACTATGTTGGTGAGGGTAATGTTAGCTTGTCTCTATGATAGCATTGTTAATGGCAGGTCATGTTGTAGTTTGAAGAGTTTGAAGATTTACTTTTATAATCATTTTCTTGCCTCATTGTTTGAAAGCCAAAATGACTCTGCACAATCGACTTATGAGTGGATGAAGTATCCATCGGGGGGTAGCAGTAGCACATCATCTGTGATCGCAGACAACTCACTACTAGTAGTACTGTTAATACTAGTTGGTGGGTACTCGCGCTAGTGACAGTTCAGTTTCAAGATACAGAATAAAGATTTTTTTTAAATATATTTATATGTTTATATTTATATTTATATTAATAATATTAATATGGGAAGACAGCAGGAAAGAGGGGATACATACGTTAGTTTCCCAGCCAAAATGGGATATTTGCCAGCTATGCCTCAGAGGGTATAGTAAATCCAGAAATAACAGTCTTTATGTATCAAACAGTTTTTCTAATAAAAACCACCCAAAAGACAATATTGTTATTCACAATTTTTAATTAGTTAGATGAACTGATTACAACACTCCATTATCATGTTCCCTCACTCTTTGTCTCTTTTTCCTTGTTGGGTCTCTTTGTTTTCAGTATCGGTGGCACAGTCCCAATCGTGTACTCCTATTTCTCTGAGTTTCTTAAGATGGACAAAAGAGGGGAGCATCTGTCCTGGTTGTGTATGTTTTGGATGATTGGTGGAATCTATGCTTCATTCACAGCCTGGGGAATCATACCCAGATATGGTAAGACACTTGAATAAAAAATGAACTTCACACAGAACAGCTTTTGACCTATTCCCTAAAACTCCTCTGATTTCACCTGTAAGCTGATGGTGACTGGAAATAAAGTTTGAGTGAACATCAGGTTTTTGATCCATGTCCTCTGTGTATGGTTATTTACTCAGGTTGGGGTTTCAGTATGGGCACTGAGTTCCAGTTCCACAGCTGGCGGGTGTTTGTCCTGGTTGCTGCTCTTCCTGCAATTGCCTCTCTGGTTGGACTCACCTTCATGCCTGAAAGCCCTCGCTTCCTCCTGGAGGTGAGACGGTATATATTTTAATCACTCTGATGATGTATGGACGTGGTAAAAACCCATAGGTCTCCGTTCAAATGGATCTGAGGAAGTTATTAAACCTGAACCATCCTGTGATTATGATTATGTGTGCTGATATAGAATGCCAAGCACGATGAAGCCTGGATGATCCTGAAGCAGGTCCATGACACCAACTGGAGGGCTAAGGGACAGCCTGAAAAAGTATTCACTGTAAGTGCTAAATCTGTATAAATAAGGGCTGTACAGAGACAACATTGTCTGTATCTGTTGCTGTATTTCATTACAGTGGGTGTGGGTTACACCAGATTTTTGAAATTCCCTAACATAATGCCATAAAAGATAAGAACTAAGATTAAAGGAAGTCATGTTCATCCTGGCATTACTTTGGCTTTAACTTAACCATGGAATACTACTCAGTTTTTCACGGATAATTAGTGAAAATTGGATGAAACAGAATGGCTTTGCCTCTTAAATAGTTGAAAAAACCTGAGTTTTGGCTCAGTTAAGTAAATTAAATTGTTAAAAAGTAAAGTTTTCGAGCTAAATTCTAACATGAAGTTTATGGGTGTTTTAATGCCTTTTACATTAGTGGGAGGCACTGATGGATAGATATGTGTGCAGCCCTCTGCCAGAGATATCTTTTGTTAGGTAAGGTACGTTAATTTACGGTTACTTTGTACATTCGTTTATATGTGACCAAATTAGCAATACAAAGGAGATTCTTTTTTATAACTATGATCAGCCTTTCAGAGCAACACAAAGAGTTTTACATCCATGATGACCAACACAATGGTAAATACAATTTATTCAATCGCACAGAGTGAATTTTTATTTTCTATTATTGGTGAGAGAAGTGGAGGTGTATATTTTTAACTTGGATGTCTAACTTGGTTTTATATACTCCTGTTCATATTCTTATTTTATTTACATAATTATAATTCCTTGCTTTTATTTGTAGAAAGTATATCAGAATTATGTGTTTGATGTGGTGCTGTAATGCTGAATACCAGCACAGCCTGTAGCCTTAAACCCCTGACTTAACTACTGCTGGGTTTGAAAGTGCAACCTCATATGTGATATTTCTTTTATCCAACAGAAACAAAATATATTAGTCGACACTAAAGAGCAGATCATAATTTGATTAAACTGCCCTCCTAATACTCAGGGTTTAGATTGCCACTTCATCACAGCCTCCTCTCAAAACTGTTTTGGTGTTGTGCGTCTGTGTTTGTACGTATGAGAGCAGCTGTCTTTTGGTTTTGTCACGTTCACATAGATAATATTTTTATGCTGTTTCCTAAGAATTCACCTGAACAAAGACCACATATTTTTTCTTTGTTTGTCTGTTTGTTTTCAGGTGACTCATATTAAGGCTCCCAAGACTGCTGAAGATGAGTTTATTGAGATCCAGGCTGCTACAGGGACAGCTGTACAGAGATGGGCTGTTCGCTCTCTAACACTGAGTAAACTGGTATGTAAACACATCCAACAAGGGAGCGCACAGCTGCTGGCAGCATGTGGGTTCAGTGGTTGAGACTGTGGTTAGGAATAAGGCCTCAGAGGAGGGGGATTGTGGGCTTTATTTCTTTCCCTATTAGTCCTTTTACCTCTAGAGTTCCTGAGACTATCAGACCACAGGAAAAAATTCAATTAAGGGGCAATCTTTACTGCTGCACTCTGCCAGGACATGATTTGATTTTATATATTTTATACTAAGCGATGGTGACCCGTTTCTTTTTTAACCTGTGGGTTATTGTCCATTTAGGGGGGCATGTGTTTTAAAACCTCAGTTTGGCACCCTTAAAGGGATATTCCGGTGTGAAATTAAGTTATGGTCACACTGTAACACAGAGTTCGACACCCCCTCGAGAGATGAACGTTGCCAACTGCTTGCTTCTCTCGCTATACTAACTTTAGCAATGACCCCAGGATAGCAATACACAGTGGTAAAGTGCGGTGAGAGACACAGCTCACCCACAAGTCGATCACCAAGTGCAGCGAAAAATTCATGATTGTTACTTAAAGGAAATGCAATCAGACCGAGACGCTAAGGCAGAGGAACACATCTGCAGTGCACATACAAGATACACAAGAACTCTGATTAAATTTCCATGAAGTAATAATCATAAATGTTCTTCTTTGAGCTGCGAAACTCCAATGCACTCGGTGATTGACTCGCCAGGGCTCCCCCACAAACAAGCAGCTGCTGGAGGAGAGTGGTTGAGCTGTGTTTAGTCTCTTTGCTAAAGAAACCAGGCAAAGCTGAAAAGATGTTTGATGGCCAGTACTATGGCTGGGACCCTATATGTGCTGTTGATGAAGTTAGGTGCTGTTCAGAGTATTATTTGTGGCTATAGAGTGGCTTTTTGGTTGAGGGTTGCGTGTCGAGATGTAGACCGCTGTGCATTGCTATCATGCGGTCATCACTAAAGTTGTTATAACTAGAGAAGCAAGCGGTTGGAATATCCCTTTAAGTTTACTATGTATTAATACATACATATTAAAACCCCTTACAACACCATTAATTCTATTGATTTAACAATGACAACACCTAGTTTCTATACAAACAACATCAGACTGACAGTTTTTTTCTGAGTCTTGCATTGTTACGATTTGAAATGTAGTTTGATGATAATGAGTAAAACTGAACACTAAAAATTTTCATGAGTCTGCAGAGCTTTCATTAGTCTCATATATATATGTAGTATACATAGCCAGTGGTAAATAATCTTGAGGAACCTGGTCCTGGATTCACTGTTGTGAATCTGTGTTACTCTCAGGTGTTTCGGAACGTAGCATCTCTTCTGTCTGCAGAGCTGAGGTTTGCAACGCTCTTCATGGCCATTATCTGGTTCTGCATGGCTTTCAGGTGAGCTCATAGTCCATTTTTTTTTTGCACTATCACCTGCAATTTGAGGCACAACAGAGTAACAGAAATTTCAGACAACGAAAGGAAATATGTTATGATTGACAAACTGAGGGGATTTAAACAAGAAAATACTGTAATACACTGCAGGCATCTCATCAAGTTGGAATAAAAGACTGTGCGTCTACAAGAATACTAATGGGGCATAATCACTCTGGCAAATGAATTATTGTCTCTCAATCTGCATTTCTTTACAGTTATTACGGTCTGTCTGTTTGGTTTCCTGACATGATCAAACATCTTCAGAATGAGGAGTATGCGTCCAAGGTCAAGGTAAAGTGAAAGACCAGTAATCAAGCTCTGCAAAATATTGAGTGGAATATCCAAGCAGAAATATCTATGGTTTGAAAATAACCTAATCATTTACTATTGTCACTCTCCATTATTATTGTCATTGTTCAGGTGTTCCATAGAGAGCGAGTGGAAAACTTTCATTTCAACTTTTCATTAGAGAACCAGATCCATAAAGAAGGGGAGTACATCCGTGACAAGTAAGTCTTAGTCTAAGTCTCACTATCAAAAACAGCAAGGGTCTGTTTGATATGAACTGTGCCTGTACAGAAACAAGGCTGCAGTCTAGTTTTTGTTGTTCCTTTGTTAAAAACACACAAAAAAAACCTTTGGCCTTAAACTGTTCTGATGCATCTCTCAATAGAGGAAAAAAGCTTAAAAAACAGAAAACATCAGCTGCCTACTCACCCATGTGTGATACAGGCAACCCTGAAAGAAGCAGGTGTTCTGGTGATATTTTTAACCCACCACCACTTTTCTCTGAGTTACATAAGATATCGTTCTCTGCAACCCTTTTCTTTGAAACGACTCAATGTTTCATTTTTTTGTTTTATTAATTGATGATTGGATGAGCAAGATGTGCAGTCCTATATTTGTTTCATAAAGTCACCATTAAAGTCATTGTATATGAGTAAGGGGTAGTGAATGCATAGTGAACTACAGTAGAAGTACAGCAATATTAGAATATAAAAACAGTTATTTTTGGTTTTTAACCAATCACAATCAAATATTCAACATAGCCAGGTTATTTGTCAAAAAGCTAAGAGACATGGCAAGTTACCTACCTGTCATTATTTTCTATGGAACAAAAAGAAGAGTATGAATTTAGGTGTGGATGTCAGCCTGAAATTTTTGAGGACACTGCTACTTTCCATTTACTGTTAGGAACAAAATCTCTATCTACCATTCCACTTTCAGATATGACAGTATGACAAACTGTGTTTTGCATGCGGTGTTTCGTAGCATGTGATGTTGTGTCCATTGAACATTAGCTATATGTTTACAGGTTATCATGGTATTGCATATGCTAATGGACAGAACAGAAAGCCATTGAATACCACTGTGAAGACAGTAAACCTTGAAAGGTTTATGAAGGCTTCGCACCGTTATCATTACTGTTGGATACCATCTACAGCACAATCTATTATGTTTTCAAGCATATGCTACAGGTTTTCTCTAAAGGAAGTGGGAAAAGATACACCCCCTTATTTTGTTTAATTGTAAGCTGGGCATCAAAGTGTACATGTAGCAGCTGAAGGACAGAAGCCTCAAAGTCAGTTCACATGAAAAAACAGCAACAACATGAGTAAATGATTGCATTGTTGAAAACCTGCTAGCTGACGTCTCTTTGTCCAGGGCTGAGCCAACATTATAGAGCGGCAGCAGGTCTGTGTAAAACAATCACCTCAAGGTAGCAGAAGTCGTCTTGCATAATTCAACAATTCTGGGTAATAGTAGTGTCCTTGTTTCAATTTGCAATTCAAGTAGATCTGGAGTTTTAACATGCTTTGATTTTATACAGGAAAACAGTCATGCATCTGCTGTAATGCAGCTCTGGATCCAACCTGCTTCAAATTAGCATTTCTATGATTTTCTATTGTCAACTATAGGCATCAGGGGCAACTAACCATTTGCTTGTAGATTTCATCTCTTATTTTCACCCCTCAGCTAACTCAGAAGATGCATTTTTCTTATATTTTTATTTCCTCCTTTGGGGGATTTCCCACCCTGTTATCAGTATGCAACACGCTCACTTGAATGCACAAACAGAGAGGTAGCGAAGAGAAGGAACTGCACATGGACAAGAGGACTGAATATTTAAGGGTTTGGTGCTATGTTCAAGTGTCCCTCTGAAATGCTCATGAGTGTGAACTGACCCTTTTGCAGCTACCAGGCTACATTTTACACTTAGGGCCATAACTTGACTTTTATCAGGTGATCCCACAGTACCCAAGCCAATTCTCTGCAACCCCGCTAGTTGGACCATTAACAAGGCGATGTAAAAGGAAGTCATGGCCAGGAGTTCCTCATCCTGCATAACAGGCAACAGTTACATACACTTTTGTGCTCAGCTGTAACTTGAAATAAAGAGCTATAGTGGAACTTGGGTTTACAACTTTGTAGCTATATAAAGTAAGGGGGAATGCATTCAAAGACACTTCACTACTGCAAAAGAAACAGTTCAGTGCAGATATACAGTATCTCACATAACTGTATATCATCTTATGTCAATGACTTTTGCATAATTGTAACACACAGAATGGGTTTTAACTCTGTATTCAGGTGGATATGAATCAGGCTCCCATTGAATATATGATACTGCCGGGTGTATTATCATTATCAATGGCTGCCATCTTGGATGTACCACAGTTAACCCATTCGGGTCATTCTGATTCTGTGCTGCCACAACAATACAAGTGAGTCTTGTTACTGTTGGTTTGTGTGTGTGCTGCCCATCCCATCCCCATAGGTTCATCAAAATAGAGATGAAGTCAGTGAAGTTTGAGGATTCACTGTTTGAAGACTGTCACTTTGAGGACATCAAGTCCACTGACACGGTGTTTGAGAACTGCACCATCCGTTCCACTGTCTTCTATAACACAGGTAGGTTCAGCTGGAGCAGGAGATGGACAGAAGTGAGGCACATATGAGCCAATGTAGGTCAGAGTGTAATGTTGGGAATGTGGAACTTCTCTGTACTCCACAGATCAAATTTTATCTCACCCAACTGTACATATTTTTTTCTTTTGAGAATGTTTTTCTAAAACTCGCGTCATGTTTGTTAGCCAACAAACAGTGTTGCACGAGAACCTTTATTTTGACCTCAATTCATTTGCTGTATTTATTTTAATAGTCTTTAAATTGAATCATCAGAATCTGAATACTTTATTCATCCCGGGGGGAATTCAGTTAATTGATCCACCATTTGGTGATCTATTTAAAGTAAATTGTTGGTACACAAGGAATTTAGCTTTGATCCTGCTTCCAGATTGAGGCTGATTGTACTGAAGGTAAGACCACTACCTTGTACTGTATCCCTACAACAGAAAGGATACAGTGCTTCAACAACAAGGAGAAAAAACTATCTAATATCACATCACAACTGGTTTTGAAGCTCAAACAAACACCCCTATTTTGCAAACCAATTCTGTAATCTCTGTCAGTATTTTTGTTAATTGCAACACAAGAGTGACAAGCCTGTTTTACCATCAAATTAATGACAAATACTGCTAATTTACATGTGTAGCTCAATGTCAAAATCTGTGAAAAACACTTTGGTTTTACCTTCACCATCAAAGTCCATTAATCCCTCTAAAACTGAGTTTAACCCTCAAAGTTTTGCCATACCATCAACTATTTCATGACAGCAGCAAGCAACTAATCACTGTTATCTTTTTTTTTTTTTTTATCACACTCACAATGACACAGCACATAGTAAGAGAAGTTTAAAGCTTTACAGCCCAATATTATCACAGCCCAATATTATCACATCCTCCTATTGATTTTTATATTAAAGTTGGTGAAAAGTCAGTATGGTGTTAACTGTCCTAGCTAACAATGGTGTAGCAAATAGGAGTGAGCAGTGCCTGGCTCACACTAATAACACAGAAATCAGCCTGCATGTTTACAGGACTACAGAGGTGTGTATAAATACCAACAAATTATATCACTGATTAACCACAACAACAAAGAGAGGCACTTTGACAGGACAATGTGCTCTCTTAAAAAAAAAAAGCTTTTATCATATCTATATATATTTTTTTCTTTACTTCATTTTAATTCTTTTGTAGATCTTTGGGAGGAGAAATTCATCAACTGTAAGATGGAGAACACCACCTTCGAGCACAACAAGCATGGCTGCCACTTAGACACTGTTGAGGAAAACGATGTTCTCATTTACCTGGTCAGCTTCCTGGGCAGCCTGGCAGTGTTGCCAGGCAACATCATCTCAGCCCTCTTCATGGAGAAGATTGGCAGGGTCAAAATCATAGGTGATGTTTGAATTTTGTAAAACATTATTGATGATGTTTTCATGATCAATCCAGGTGCAAATGTTGCAATGTTATTCTTGCATCTGTATGTAGAGACATTACTCTAAATACCATAAATTTAAAAGGACATTATTTTCATCAACCTTGTAAAACTGAAACCTCTATCCTTATAATAACCTTAAAAGTTCTTTATCTAGGCTAATGCAGACAATTTCTTGTCAAATATCTTGACAAACAGGTGACAAGAAAGAGTCAGGGTTACACACAGTCTTGCAGATATTGAATAAATAACACAAGAAACAGTCAAAACTTCGAACTAACTGAGTTATTTTTTCATTTCTTAAGGTTATATAATAACCAGTGACAGCATTTTACACTCCATAGTATTAATTGAAGTGACTGCGCTGTCCTCTCAGGTGGCTCCATGCTCATATCAGCAGGCTGTACCTTCTTTCTGTTCCTGAGCTTCAGCCAGTCAGCCATCATTGCCCTGCAGTGTCTTTTCTGTGGCGTCAGTGTAGCAGCATGGAACGGCATCGAGGTGGTGACCGTGGAGCTGTACCCTGCTTCTAAAAGGTATCATCTATCATAACAGATGACATTTCAGGTATCATCTATCATAATAGCTGATATTTCATACCCCAAAGTCCAGTGAAAATCTAAGTAAAGGATGCAACATGAAATTGAAAACCCACTGAGCAAGTATGTGGAAAGTTAGTTAAGAAAAGCATTGTCGATCCAGGGTTTGAATTATCTTCTTAGCATCATGAAACTTGAGATTTGTTTGGGGAATACACAAGCCAAGTATGTTATTTGGAATGCAGCTGGAAAGCAAACTGTCATGTGGTCCGTCATGCTCTCTCTCGCCCTCTTGTAGTTAAACACACAAAGGTCCACATTTTTATGCCCCATTGTGTCTTCGGATCTCCAACACTCAAAAACTACTAACAGGTAGTTTAGGTTTGGATATAGACTGTATATAGCTGTCTCCTAAAGTCTTTGTCTTGTGTCTGTTCATCAGGGCCACAGCATTTGGCGTGTTGAACGCTCTGTGTAAGCTTGCAGCCGTGCTGGGCAGCTCTATCTTCGCCAGCTTTGTGGGCATCACCAAAGCCATCCCAATTCTCCTCTCCTTCTGTGCACTGGTGTGTGGAGGCCTGGTGGCCCTCAAACTTCCCGACACGCGGGAGAAAATCCTCCAGTGAGTTTTTTTTTTTTTTTTTTCTGTGATCAATCCAAGGAGTTGGATTCACAAGCGGAGGGAGAGGCCAAAGCATATCCGGTTAAAAATGGATTTCCTCTTCAGTCTGCACTTCAGAAGGAAGCGGGGATGGATATAATTTACACCTGTAAATGTTTAACGTTGCTCTTATTCTTTCATGTGGACCATTTTCATGTCGGACAGGTTTCAGAGAGGAGAAAGGGTGTAAGAGGTCACAGGTTTGCGTATGCTATCTCTTTATGTTTCATTAAACAAACTGTGATTCTGTTAAAACTCCACTGGATTAACTAACCACAGGATAATGATGATGTGAGTAAGAAAATAGTTATTTTTGTATAAATCCAGCTTGAAGCATAAATCATATTAACTTACAACTTATCTTATCATCTGCTTCTTGTCTTTCTGTCTGTGCATGATGAGACTATTACCACAAAAGTCAGGTGTTTAATGAATTACCAGATATTAGCTTTCACTTAAGTCAATTGGGATAAATTAACCAAAAATGTTGAGGATGATTATTTGACAAAAGATATTTTTTCCATGTGACAATCATTTTTTTTTATTTCTTGGCTTTACTTTTGATACATTTCTATAAATTTCTCCTGTTTTGGTCATTTTTTTTATCACATACATTAATAACGCTTTGCCCCATCTCTTCAGCATCATTTAACACTCGACCAGTTACAGCGTTGTACTGGTGTCTGCATGGAGGGGACTTCTTCATTTTCCTGCACAGTTTGATGTTGAATATGTATTTATGGTTCTGTGCTGCGATTGGTTGTGTAAATGACTGCATGTTTGTCTTCTGTTTTTTCTCGGCTATGTTTCAATGTGTCTAACATAACGTGTATGTTTAACGTGGTCTGATTGTGTTTTGTATCACATAAAGAAACTGCAGCACTTTGACACTGAAAAGAGTACTGGTTGGATTTACAGGTTGGATATTGCTTTATTATTGAGAAGATACTGCAGTGTCTTCCCAAGACAAAGAGACTATTTTTCGTGTGTCACTTTCTGCTCTAATGAGGCAGATCACCACTCCTACCGTCCTGTGATGTTATTCGCTTTGCTTTGATCAAAACCTGGCTGCCAAAGCTGAAAATGTTTCAGTGTTGGATGAAACACCCTCATCAGTTTCTCTATCTGTCAACACTGCTCTTCATAGGACACACAATCACTGGCTGTTCCAGAGACACTTCACAAGTCTGTGAAGAGACAAATAACGTGGTGGCTTAGAGAAAAGAAAATAACTACAAAGTGTGGACAAAATGAGCTTTAATTGTTCTGCATGGCTGTTGAGTTTCTCCTCAAACACACACAAACACACAGAAACGTGGGTTAGAACTGCAAATGTGAGATACTTTAGCACTAATGGAAACAATACAAGCAACATTTCAGGCAGTATAAAGTAACAGCATGATATGTCAGCAAATCCCTTTAATAGAGGTTGGTGATGGTTCATTTAAGTCACTGCCTGCATTGTTGCCACTGCGTTTAATCTTTGTAAATGATATTTACTGAACAATCTCATCGGACTAAAAGTGTGGGGGAATTGCCGTAACCTAAAGCCTTGAATTTTGACAAAAGAGAAGGTCTTTAGACAGTGGTGTACTCAGGCTGTTTGAGGGCTGGGGGCAACCAAAAAGACACCGGCTGTGTAGAAAGTTGTGTTTGATCGACTGTGAAAGCTCTTAAGGAGCCTCTCTAGTTCTCTGGGTAGCACTCTGGATAATAGCTGCAAAACTGGCTTGCTCCTTATATGTACATTAAGGGTGTTATTCCTGAAACCCTGCAATCTGGAGAACATTTATGCAATTTGTGGTGGAAAGTCCATCATTTTTAGGGGGAACAGAAAATCATTTATGTGTATCTAACAAATAAGAATGCCACTCCCTGCATAGAGCTCACATTCTCTGGAGATTGAATAGAATATTTTTCACACTGTAATTTCAAAACGGAGTGGTTCAATGTGACACAAACACTGCATCACTTTCCTGTTTACAGATGTCACAAATTGAATCAGGTAAACTCTAACTAGTCTCATAACCTATCTCACAAAAATAAAGCTCCTGTCAGGAACTGTTGGCATGTGTCTATTTTGGCACCTCCTATAGACAAAGTAGTTTTTATTTATCTTCCCCTCTTTCTAAGGTAGTATGACAATCCAGTGTATCTTGTTGTATGCTTGGTTGACACCTACCCTCTCACACTGGTTTCAGGCATTACAAATTAAAATATAAAAGTCTTTAATCTTGTTGCTGATGATTTTCTTTGTTTTTGAATGTCATAGAAATCCATTAATACAAATTTTTGACTATTTCTTTAGTCTATTTCTAAGTCCAAAAACTCCTCACAGGAGCTTTAACATAACAACCAAATCTAACTGATACATAATTGGGTCAGGTTACCAAGATTACATTTGATTATTCATCATTTTATTCACCAGAAGGGCATGTCAGAAGATACTAAGTCATGTTTTCCCATCAAATGGACTCTGAGAGGACATTTTATAATTCTTTATTTTTTACACAGTTTAAACAGTTTTTAAACATGAGGGCACCAGGGGAACCAATTTCCCTTCCTGCTCCATTCCTGAGTACAGCCCTGTATTTAGAAGAACAGCTATAAGTACATGCTAGAAAGAAAGGCTTAGTTGACACACACAAACACAGACGCATACGTACACAAAAAACTGTTTTTTAAATTGTGTGATCTATAGTGTAACAATGGTTTTAGTGAGAGAGGTCAAATGGAAGAACATACATTGTTTCATTAGTTCATGTCTTGTCGATTTGGACCTGTTCAGTGTGTCTGACACTGCTGTAAAGCAGAGATTAAAAAGCCATAATTTGCTCTTTGTTTATAAATTTTGTCTTTTTTATCATTATCTTTTTTTTTTCATTTGTTGGGGTGAATTCTTTGTGTAAAAAATGTTTTTGTTTGATATAATTTTGAAGTAAATGTATGTGTTTGTGGCTGTATTAAAATCAGATGAAGTCAAATAAATTCTATCATCAATGCACCAACTTTTGTTTGGCTGTTCTTAAGAGACCAACATATTACACACTAATACCCCACTGGATTAAAGTTTTTAGATTTATCTGTTAATAATCAATGATTATTAATTAACATATGGGTGTCATTTTAATGTTTTGTGGTATCCCAGCAGAATCCAAAGGATCCCAAGACAGTCTAGCTGCAGACCTCCACTGTCAGGACCCTTCGTTGCAAACCTCCACTGTGGGGACCCACCTCCACTGTGCGTACCAGAAATTGACCTGAGGCCTTTCAAAATAAAAGCAAATATACCGGAAGTATTTTATTTTATTTTTTTATTATGCTAAATTAAGTTGATTCAAAGCCTTTCAAATTAAAAGTGATTCGACTGGGAAGTACATATTTTTGTTCTGTGTGAATGAATATTTTATTTCTTGGGGCTTTATCTTATGTATACAATGTTAATATGATATTTTTTGTGTGTGTGTGTGCGTGTGTGTGTGTGTGTGTGTGTGTGTGTGTGTGTGTGTGTGTGTGTGTGTGTGTTCATGTGTGTGTGTGTGTTCATGTGTTCATGTGTTCAACAAAAACAAAATACAAAACGGGATGACCACTTAAAAAAAAAAAAAAAAAAGAAAAAAAAAACGGAACGAGGAGAAAAAATGGCTCCTCTCAGTGAAGCGGGTCTTCACAGTGGAGGTGGATCCTCACGGCACAGGGGTTGTCTTTTTTTGCTCTAAACATTACCCACTCCTAAAATTTTAGGTGAGCTAAAGACCTGAGCCCGTTGTTAACCACTCCAGGATGGGTTTTTTATTCAGCTCCAGCCACTTGATGTTGGCCCTGGTCCTCTCCAAAGCCTGCTGCACAGCCTGAGTGGCAGAGCCAAACCCTGCTGCGCTGTGCTCATTCACAAACTCCTCCAGCTTACAGAATGAACAAAACAAAATGTTTTACATTACTTTTTCTGAGAAAACAATCTCAAGAAGTTGCTGGGAAATTCCTTAATAAGTACAGACCTGTTGCAGCTCGGTGGGTGTGGAGAGCCTTGCTGTGACACCACTGATCATGGAGGCAAAAGAGAAAGAGCCTACACCATATCTGGGAATGAAAAGAACTCAACTCTTAAGATGACTTTTGTCGTCAATTTGCCATAGATATATATATATATATATATATATATATATATATATACAGAATAAAAGACAGAAATACCTGTAATTGTGAATGATTATTATTATTAATAATCATGGGCGTTATAGGGAGTTTGGTGATGGCCTCAATTTGAGTTACTTGGCCTGTGCAGGATTGAGGTTAAGCTGGTGTATGTGAGGTGATAGTCACAAGGGCATATCTATTCTTGGATTCAGAAATCAGTGCCATACTGTCACATTATCTTTGAGGATGAGTCTCTTCACCTCCATGAATCCTCAAGATAGCAGCACATCATCTTTTCACCTGACAATACCTCATTTCAAAACCATCAAACCTAATGCACTGTGTATCAAAGTGACAGGCGAGTCAGGTGGAAATTGACAATTAGACTTCAGGGGCTGCATGTTAAAATACTTGGCGTCTGGTTTATGACAGGGCCGTTTGTGTTCCTTGTGTAGTGTGTTACCTGCATAAATAAAGATAAGACTCTGTCCTTGCACACAATCAGGCTCTTTGTTTAACCTAATTTTGTCGGCTTGTCAATGATGAAAATTTCCACTCGTAATTTAGTAAAATAAAAAGCTGTAATGTTTTGTCATTTTTCTCAGCTCTACACAGCTCCACCTTTTTATACGTGTGTTACTCACTCTGTGAACATGTATTCCCATTGTTCTCTGACAAAGTCCCACGCTAGATCCTGGCCCATCCTGTTGCTGGCTACAGATGTGATGACAAAGGTGGCATCCTGCTTACGTATCATATCTGGGTTCAGGGTATAGGATAGATAGCTTTGAAAACAAAAAACAGGGAAAAAAGATCATTTAAAGTTCATGGTTCAGTGGCAGTTTTCTTTCTTTCCACATCTCTGTGACGGAGACATTCATTTCAAATGGAACATTTTCTCTCTTACTTCACTGTTATATGACTGTTATCATCTATGAATAGGACATTAAGTGTTACACCTTTGCAGCAGATATGTGTCGTTGGTGCAGGCCAGTGCAGACATGAGTTTGCCGGCCTCACTTGCTAGTGTAGCACTCTTGTACTGGGACCAGGCAAACACCCACTCCGCATCACCACCAGCTGCTATTGCACTGCAGTACACCACTGAACGCAGGTTTGCAGCGATCCTGACAAACAATGAACGGATGAATGAATGTATTAGAGTAAACAGCGAGTGGAGAAAACTCATTGGTTACTACGAGAAAAAGGGGAAGAGGCAGAAGGTGCAAAGTAATATTTAAACTAGACCAACAGATTGTGTTGAGGGTGGTCCATCCACTGTTTGAACCATCCAGTTATCAGGTTCTGGCATTCTGTTAGTCCGACATTGCACCCCATTTGGATTGCATTCACCTGGTTATACCTGCAGGAAGAGACGACCGTGTTACATTTTGTGGTATTTGTGAGGCTCAACCAAACTTTGTGGAAGTTCGATTGGCACCACAACTATTTTTTCGGAGGGAAAGGAAAGGGTTAAAATTTTGGACACACACAGAGCCAGAAAAGAATCCTGGGTTGATAAAGGAAATTCATTTTACCACATGTAAGTATTTATAACTGTTTCTGCAGTAGTGACAATAAGCCAAAAATACATCACAGTCAGCACAGATTATCCCTCACAAACTTAATCTCAATCAGAGACATGTGTCACCTTGTCCATCTGAACAGGATATCACTCTCCCTGCAGATCAAAGTGCTATAACACTGTGCTTCATGTTCCCTTTTGCATTGCCAGGTTATTAAATTGTAATATCATCCCCTTATCAAACTGGCAGACCTTCAACGACTCATAAAAAAGGGCAAAACCAACCGTAATGACAGGGAGTTTGAGTCCATAGAAAAACGCAACACTGAGCGAGTTACTCATGTACTATGTACTTTAATACATTTTACTTCCTTTATTGTTTTATAAAAATATCTATCATGTTTCAGTAACATTCACACAGGCTAAAAGCAGTGAAGTTAAAGTTAAGGTGTTATTACCCTCTTTCGCCAAAAGATGGAGTGTGCTGCTAGTAAATCCTTTTGCAATGCAGATCTGTGCTGTAATATGAAGCTGTGCTCTCAATATGAGCTCTATTTTAACAGGTAAGCAGACATAAGTAACATTAAGGGAACTCCGTGAGCATGTTGAACGTAAGTTGCTAATGCTAATTAAACAGTTAGGATAACTGCTATCAGTGATAGAGAGACCCAGTGACACTGTGTGTAAGTGGTTTGCGTCTGAAACATTTGCTGAAGTACAAAAATGTGCAGTTATGTAAACAGGAAGTCACAATGATATATTGTATATTTTACATGTATGTTAATGTTTTGTTGTATTGTAATTTTCCATGTAATAAGTAACTAATTGACATGGAAAGTGTGTGAAAACAGTTTTACTACAAAATGTAGCAGTGTGCTGAAGTATGATGCTACGTAGAAGCGTGTTAACAATAGGTGCTACCCATAGGTGCTCTAGTGTTTGTGTACATTTGTAGTTTTTGAACTCAAAACTGAGAACACTTTTTCAGGTGTGTCGCACAAAAATTCCCAAAATAAAGACCACTAATTCAAAAAGAGCCACGGAAAAGTTATGTGGTTGTAAAAATAAATAATTTACAGTTAATTCACAAGTGCCATCTGTATGTGTCTCAACTGCTGTGAAAAGTGATACTGGGAGATGTTTTTCAAAACATGATGGCATCTCAGAATGTGCCGCTGGTGAACACTGTCAAAAGAACAGACACATGCAGAAAAAGAGAGCAGCAAGGTGTGAGGTGGGACACACCCGTATGTTTAAGGAAAGGAAAGGTGTTGGTGTGGTGTGTTAGTGAGGCCTCACTTAAAGCTCCTGGGAGGAGTTTTCTGTTATTTATCAAATTGACTGAAATTTAAAATGATACCTGGTTGTGATACACAAAAGCAAACTAGACCATCAGAAACAAGACTGATGAATTTTATATTATTATCTCATATGTCTGAAACTGTTGTTAAGGGGGTAGGGGTCAACTGGGCTGTAACAGGAAAATTCATGTTTCACAGTAAACATTCACTAAATGGAATTTACTATTTTTTCAAAACATGGATTTGCCCTAAAACAGTCTGTTTAGCCCGCAACAACTGTTTTCAGATGGTTATACTCACTGGTCAGTGTGTTTCTCAGGTATCTCAGTCCAGTTGGCTGTCAATTCTTTGAAGTGCATGAAGAGGGGGGTTACCAATTTCATTACATGGTCCTGCAAATATTTCAGAGGTGAGTCAAAGCTGAAGTGTTTTAGCTGATTTCAACAGAGGATAAAACTAAAAAGCCAGAAGAATCACTGAGACAATCAAGACAAGGACAGTTACAGGGTGTCAGAGTGAGAGATTCACACCATACAGTTAAACACATTTTCCATAGCAGAGATTCTCCATAAGTGATGTGTCAGACTGTTAAAGACAACATGATGAGGTTTAACTTAAGGGGAAAAATGGGCTAAGAAGTGGAGCTGGGATGAGCAAGTCATCTCAGTCAGTTATGCTCTTGGTTGTGCAAACTTGTGTAAAACTGTTAGTCCAAATAGTTACTCTCTACAAACCGCAGCTTGATGCTGGAAGTAATCCTACAGCGATCTGAGAGGTGAAGTTTACCTGCAAGGGCTGGTAGACCTCAGTGCGATCAAACATGAGATAGTAGTATTGTAGATTATTGAGAGCAGCTTGCCAGGGCATGTACTCTGTTTCGTTCAGCAGAAAAGAGGTTAACATCAGAGGGTAAACATTGGGGACCAGCTGAGCCCTGCAGACAGAAGGGAAACATGTTTCATACAGTTTCATACAAAGTTGAGTTTCCTACCTGGGACTATGCCTCTGCATCAAAACATTTTATTCTTACACTTATGAGGTACAGCTGACTCAACTCTATAATTACAAAACCCCAAATTTCCTGTAACAACATCAAATTTGTTCTTAAAGAAAGAAGCCCTGAAAAAAAAAGAGCCCTAAATGTTGAGAACAAAATACCTGGCCAAACTGAAGGCATCATCCAGAAGCTGGGCCCTGTTTGCAACTGGTATAACCTGCATATCAGATTATATACAGTCATTATATGAAATATAAGCAAAACATAAAAAATATATATATAATTAAGGAGAGAGTAAAAAACAGGACAGAAGCTGAGAGGTAAACTTCAGGAAGTTTAAAGGGATATTCCGGCGTAAATTAAGTTAGGGTCAAACACACCCTAACGACGAGTTAGACACCCCCTTGAGAGATGAATGCTGCCGCTTGCTTCTCTCACTATATCAACTTTCGTATCATTTCTTCATGGAAATGCAATCAGACCTAAGAACTACTGCATCTGCAGTGCAAAATGATTAATATGGTGATTATTACTTCAAGGAAATGCTAGAGAAATGATCATAAATGTTCTCCCTTGAGCTGCGTCAGCCCACAGCCGTCTGTAATGGACTGGCCTGAGGTCTCGCAAGCGAAAAAAGTGGCTGCTAGAAGAGAGTAGGTGAGTTGCGTTTAGTTTCTTTGCTAAAGAAATTAGGCAAAGCTAAAAAGATGTGCTAGTACTATGGCTGGGATACTATATGTACTGTTGATGAAGTTAGGAGATGTTCTGAGCATTATTTGTGGCTATAGAGTGGCTTTTTGGTTGAGGTTTGTTTATGGCTCCTCAGACTGCTGTGTATTGGTATCACATGGTCGTTACTAAAGTTGGTATAACTAGAGAAGCAAGTGGTCGGCAAGATTCATCTCTCGAGGGGGTGTCTAACTCGGCGTTATGGTGAGTTTGACCCTTAATTAATTTTACCCCGGAATATACTGTTACAACAAAATATGAAATGATTAATTTTTTTTACCAGGTGATCAGTAACAAGCTGCTTGTAGAGTCTGTCCCAGTTTGAAGGATCATAGTTTACCCGGTAATACCCAGTTACATTTATGTTGCCCAAAATCCAGGACTGATCCATTAAGAAATCTGAGTTGTAAGCTGAGAGAGAAAAAAAAAAGAAACAATAGACATTTGTATCAGTGTACAAAGTATACTTTGGGAAGCATACTAAAATGAACTTCAGTATACTTCATAAAATGTTCTTGAGGTATACTTATTTTTGGTAAGGCAGACCTTATCTTAATTTTACTTTGGTCTTGCCGATGCTGCACATATTGAGCACATCATTACACACCTTCCTTTTTGGTCAGCCAAAATGTGTTTCTTGATACTCCGCTTTTATTCATCCATGTGATGGGAATCACCCATTCATAGCTAAGGGAGAAAACACATCACAAACTTACTTATTTTGTTGGGAGGTCAGGATTAGAAAATGGCACAGAGGCAGATGAGACAAATGCTATTGTCGACATGTTACCCTGACAAAAAAAAAGAAAAGAATTCACACTGTCTGTTCATCCTGTTTATGTAAGCAGCTGAAAATACAGCTACTCTGTTGGAGTATTATCACTTTGGAAGAAAAAAAACATCTTAAACAACATGATGTTTTGTGTAGCATACTTGTAAGGTGAATCAACTGTGACTTTGGACTCTGGATCCAACAGGAAGTACTTCTGGGTCACCATGCCTTTGCCGGTATCTATGGTGACCACAGGGAAGCCCATCTGAAGCACCCAGCGGTTCATGATTTCACTAACTGAGTAAGGAAGTGAAACATCATTGGCTTTAACGGCCTGTTGATGAAGCAGCAAAAAGGAATGATCAATTCATGGTTTTTGACTCTTTAGCATGTCTGAGTTTGTGTCTGTTTTTGTCAGGTAATATAAAACATTTACAATTCAAAAACAACATCTGTCCGAGTTTGTCAGCAAATAAAATGTTTCCTGTAATGGACCATAAATTTAAGCATATGGTAAATGGCACACAAAGTAGGAGTCAAGCCCTGAATAAGTCCCAAAAGCTTTGAATATATTTTCCAGGGAGATTCAAAACGAGCAGTCAAGCCTTTAGGCTAAATATCACACAAGGCCTGTATGAGAGCATTTCAAAAATTACTCTAAATTAAATTAAAACTATTTAATTTATCTTTTTTTTTTTATCTTACCATTTCTAGATGGTCCCACAGGTCATTTCCAACTGTATTATCATAGGCAAAGTGATTGAGGTAACTCTGGAGACAAACACAGGCAATGTTAGGTCGTATTTGTTTTCTCCCTGTTGCTGAATTAAGTAAAACCCTCTTGTAATCACAAGATCCAACTTTTCTTCAAAACTGGCTATGATTATATTTTTACTGTTTCACCTGACTTAAAGACCCACTCCAATAAAAATTATGTTTTTCTTGTCGTCTACATGTTCATGTGGCATTTTTTTTCTGATGCTAGAGGACATATCGTGAGAAAACTAAGGGCAAAATTGCATTTCTGAGTATTTCTGCATTCAAATCACTGTGAACTACTCACAGACCCAAACAGTGGGACTTTCTATGCCACAACTCCAAGCTCTGCCCCTGGTGCCCCGCTCTGCAGGCCAGATCCCTAGAAGTAGAGAGGACTATCGCGGAACAAGTGCGGAAGTGGATTGCAATGCTCATAAGAAAGCTAATAATGATATTAACTTTCATCATGTCCCTAAAGACATTAGTGTCTAAAGGCTGAAAAGCTCCTATGTTACCTGCCACCTCTACTATGCTGACAATGTTAGGCTGCAAGCTGGCATGAAGAGGAGAGTGGAGCACAGCGCTGTCTCTGCCCACGACTCAGAGACAAATTGCTAATGAGCTACAAGGGCTCTGCAGAAGAAAAGCCCTTGAAAATGACACATGTAATGTGATTTTGGCTAAAAACTTCATTATCACAATTTAAAGAACACTGATAACACTTGAAGTAGTAAAAATAAAGCAGAGTGGGACTTCAAACATCATATCAAATTAATCAGTTGGGGAGCACCATCCAGAAGTAACACCTAAAAGATGTCTGAATCATCACATCTGAAGCATAAGCTGCCATATTTAAAAACTCACATAAAGTCCTTGGACGAAGACGGACTCTGAGAGGAAAGAGGACATCATCCTTAATACCGATGCCCCCTAAAGCAAACAGAGATACTCGTGATCACTTTTTACTACAAATCAACCAGTTTTAAAGTTTATATGTTTAGCAGTTAAGCGATGTAGTTATGTTCATGCTTAAGTTATATTTAAGGATTCGGTGTCTCTTACCTTGCTGTATGAGATGGTATCAAACTGCTCAGTGATCTGGTTTGGCAGGATGATGCTGTCTTCTTTAGAGGACAGAGGATGAGAGGAGGTCAAGGCATCGACTGCCATCACTCTTTGGATATCATCAAGTACTATCAAGTCTTTCTGCAGCAAACACACAGAGTAACATTCAAGATTTCTTACCCTCAGGCCTCATTTTATACATTTTCTCTTTGTAAAAGCTAAACAGGCATATATGCCTTCGGACTAAGCATTACAGAAGGGCCGAGCAATAGAGTGCAAATATGTAGTATGCAAACAGTATGTGCTGGTTTGAAGACAGCAAATATTGTATCCAGATCACTTTTTACTCACCACATCCCATGAGGGCTCAGCATAGTCTGCTCCCAAGTATGACACATATGAAGCAAAGCCCTCATTCAGCCAGACCTCGTTCCACCAACGTAGAGTTACCAAGTTACCAAACCACTGCAGCACAAAATCCAGAGATCAAACAGCTGACTTATCATGAGTGAATTGATCGAATTGTTAGAAAAAAAAAAATGTAAATTTGGATCACCATATGAGCAAGTTCATGGGCAATGATGGTGGCAGTTGTCTCTTTGTTTCTGTTGGAGGAGGTCAGGGGGTCATAAAGCAGATTAGTTTCTCTGTATGTCACCAAACCCCAGTTTTCCATTGCACCAAAATAGAAGTCTGGCAGAGCAATTTGGTCTGTAAGGCAGAAAGATGGTTTAGTGGGTTTCTGTGCAACGTCATCACAGGTATGCACGTGGGGCCAGGGGGCAGAAAGCAGGACATTTCTTATTTGTTTACTAGCGGAGTCAACAGAGAAAGAAAATGACAAGGAGCTGTTGTGCTGTAAACTGCACGAATTGGTAAAACAAACAATCGGCAAACATTACAACCCTGCTCCTGATATTAGAAACACCTAAAACACCGTCACAACCTGGTAAACTGAGTGAAATTCATGGACATTTCAGCAATTGTTTTTCTGATTTTGATGCAATGAAAGACAAAGCGATTTTCAATGTAATGACATTTTATCGCAATTGTGTCAGGGAGAACTTGCAAACAATATGGCATCTTCATTGATATCAGTTCACTCCCAAGCAGGCTTTGACCCCCTGGTTGCGCGCATCTAGTATTGTTTGTACACAAGAAACCCGTCTATATACTCGAGCAGCTGGGAAGATAAGCTGATGGGGAGCATCCCTCCCCACAGCAGATTTTAAAATCCCCAGGGTAGCAGTTTACAGCAGCTAATCCTTGTCAAGAAAAACAATTTAAAACCTTCTCTTTAATTTAAGGCCTTTTTTTAAGCAATTGGTCGTGTCCAAAGTTCGAGACAAGGCAACTCTCTTTTCAAGTGTGACTTTACCTCAATTTTGTTGACATTTCTGAGAAGTCTGATATAGTTTTAGAGCCACTGCACGAAAACTACTCTATTAAAAGCTTTCACCAATCTCATTTCAACTGTTACCTCGGAGAGCTGTTACTCCTTCCTGCTGCCTGCAATACAGGTTTTAGTGCCCCAAGGTTCTATCTAAGGCCCTGTCCTGTTTTCCTTATAGCTGCCTCCTCTGGTGTCCACTTTTAGTAAACACATTTTTTGTACCATCCTGGCATATTATATGGTCTTATTTAATGCAGTTTTTTTTAGTTGTGTTATTTATTCTGCCTCTCATATTTTTTTTAAACACATTAAATTTTTATAACCCCAATATGACACACAAGCATTCACAGGAGAATAGGCTATACCATCACATCACAGGATCCAATCAGGCACTCTCCTGTTCTGAGAGACCCAGCTTACCTGATTTGCTCAGAGGGTAAGAGATGTTATAGTATGACTGGAAGAAGTCCAGCACAGGTCCCGTCACATTGAGGGCATAGTCCCCCTGTCCTTGTTCAATGGCCTTCCTCCGAGCCCAGATACGGATCTAAACACACAACAGTAAACACATCAATGTATCATCTCTTTATGTGCTAGATGTTTGAGGTCATGTTTCCTAGACTTACAGGCTAAAATTAAAAAAAGGCAGCTCACATGTGTAAAAACCCTACATGGATGGATAGTTGTGTAGTGTATAGATTATGGACTGTGAATGAGGTCAGTTGGCTGAATTCAGTCTGGACAATATGACTGGAATGTGTAAGGAATTAGAGGATTTAGGTGTTTTCATTAAAGGTTACACAAGAGTACAACCACATGTTACCTTTATTTGTGAGTAACCCATCTATATAATGTTTTAGTGTTTAATTATAGGTATTTCATGAAGTAACCAGTAACCTAATTTAAATGATGTTAACCAGCCCTACAAAATTAAACCATTAGTTTTATCACAGACAGTTACCAGTGTATCTCCTTGTGTTGCATTGATGTAGGTGTAGTCAGAGACAACAATGGCAAGCAGATAGGAGGACATTTTCGCAGTGGGCTCAAACTTGGTCTGTGTCACAGTTACTCCATCAATATTGGTGTTTATAATATCTGAAAGACAAACACAGAGAGAATTGTATCTTTGCTGCTTTTTTTTTTAATCAGAAAAGCAAGTATTGTAGGGTTTATTTCCAGTAGTTTACTTATCAGTTCAAAGGATGTCAAAATACAAAACTTTTTGTCGTCATCTTTAGTTAATCCAAACGTTAAACTGCACAAAATATCAAAAACAAGAGGTGTTTTGGTTGTCAGACTCCATATAAGGCTGATTAACCAGACAAGTCCAGACACATATGTCATCTTTAAAGATGGTTAAAGCACCTGTGTAGAATCCACAATCACAGTTTACAGCTCATCCATAAAGAGTATCCTGTCTTTCTTTTTTAGACCTGTAGTATGATTTATCCACCCCAGTTTTTAGGTGCCTCTTTGTATTCTTTTTGTTTCCCAGCTTTTGCAAACTGTAGCTACAGAGTCAAAAAGCAGAAACTGTTTTGATGAGGAAGGTTGCTCATTTTAGAGAGTTTGTGTACTTCATGTTGACAACCCCAAATAGCTGCTACATGAAGTTGATAAGATTATGACACTGGAGGAAAGGCATTAGTGTAGCATTAATAGAAAAAACTGTGTATGTGTAGGTTCGTGTGAGGTTTTCAAGTGCTGAACCTGAACACCACGATAGTAACAAAATAAACTATATAGTAACACAACCACATCGCTAAGGAGGCCTTGGTCCTCTGCAATAGATGCTAAAAAGATTTTAATGGGTTTTTTTTTTGTTTTTTTTTTTAGATTTTATTTATTTATTTATTTTGCTATGTAAAACCATTTGTCAGGTATTTTTTTGTTGTTCCTATTATTGTTCCTTTTAATATGGAGCTGAGAGTCTGGAAATCTGTAGCAAGCGACTTTGAAAATTGGAATATTTCAAACAAAGATATTGTAGCAGAATTGACGCCCATGTTTTTATTTCTACTTCACTCGTCCATTGTAAAAATGTGGCAATGTATCGAGATACTTTCACAAGTTTGCATACTGTTAAATATCAGTGGACAAGGTAACCAAACTTGGATAAATGTACAAATGTACTGTAGGAATCATGTCTGTGATGTAACCGAGCTCTTGTCTATGTTAGACTGATGTTTGAACTATAAGAATAATAAAACCGACCTGTTTCCATGCCATTGGAAAGGGCTACAGTACCAACAGGGTGGATGAGAGTTACATGGAAAACAGCTTTCATAGCCGGCTCATCAAAACAAGGAAAGGTCTTTCTGGCATGAGTTGGGTGCATCTGAGAGGTTGCAACAGTCCTGGAGAGGATCAAAATGATTACAAAATAATTGAACAGAATTTACAAAAACAAAATTAAGAGTCACATACTAAAAAGTAACGATGACAGACTGGAAAACATACTTTCTGACTCCATCTTCTTCATATTCACTTCTGTAAAAGCCAGCCAAGTCATCCGCGAGTTCTCCAGTGAACTCAGCATACAGCTCATAAGTCTGTTGTGGAGTTAAACTGTTGCCCAGCTGGATGACCATGTACTGGGTCTCAGGCTGTAGCCAGGTTGACTTTATGGAGGGAGCAGATCCACCATCTAGGGAAGAGAAAAAGTTAATAGTCAGATTGGAGTAGCAAATTTTACAATGACTTTTGTTTTGCTTGTGAGTAAATATGTGAGATCTAGACTGGAGAAGCACATGTCCTATATGAATCATCTGTATTACATCTGTATTTTTCAAAAGTGGAAAAAAAATTTCAAGTCTGAGTACAGAGTGCAGAAAAAAAGAGAGACAATGACCCTTTAAGAGAAATGAAGTGGTGAATAAATTTGTTTATGTCCATGTTTTTCGCTGTGTGTATAGTAGCCCAGTGTACCTGTAGCACTCAGCCTGACAATTTGTTCATTTTCCAGCTTTGTGAAGTTGAGTTTGTTGGTGTGGATCAGGATTAGATCTGTTTCTTTCACACACTTAAACTTCACTGTGGATTTGCCTGAGAGAAACACAGGGAGAGGACAGATACAACATAAGAAAAATGCATCAGCTCGACTTACTGAATATTAAAAGCCTAATATCTGTTGATAAACAAGGTGATCACACACAGGTTGTCAGTTTGAACAAGGCAAACCAGTTTACTGTCCCTGAGGAGCCAACAAACCCAATCAAAAAAGACAAGACCTGAGTTGCTTGTAAGTATTAAAAACGTCAGTCAACAGGGTATTCAAACATTCAAACTAGAAACTAGAAGTATTTTCAAACTAGAAATATGAACAACATCTTAATTCAGGAAACCTCACCTGTGACCTTTGCTTTTTTGATCTTTTCGCTAACTGGCAAATAATTTGACTTTTTTCTCCTCTGGTAGCATCTCAAACTAGAAAAGCGGTCGGAGAGCGCAGACCTCCGCCAAGCAGCTCATGTCCCCCCATAAACAAGAAATGCCCTGACTGGGATTCAAACCCAGAACCTGGTTGTGAGGCGACAGTGCGAACCACTACACCACTGTGCCACCCATTGCTTATCTTTCAGCATTGAAAATTCCAACGACACCCTTATGTTTGTGTGTTCTGGATCAGAGTATCCAGAATTTTGTCTGGATCACCACCAAAATTTAATGGGATCCTCCTGGGGCTGAGACGCACCTCTGGTGAACATCTTGGCCATCTTGACCACATTTCAGGTCAATCTGTCTGTTACTTTCCAGTGTTGTTTTCGTCAGGCAGGACGAAAACTTAAATGACGACGTCAGACCCCTTTTTTCCTTGACGAACATGAGACTAAGACGAACGTCACCAAAGCTCTGTAAAGACCAAAATGTGACAAAAATTGTATTCATTTTCGTCAGACGAGAACGAGACGAGACTAAATTGTTATTACGTGGACGAACAAATTTTCAAAACATGCTTTTTTTTGTCCTAACAGTCCCGCCCCCATCACACACGCACCAAAAGCCTCGCTCGCGCACAGCTGCGCGCACACACTCATACACATACACAGAGCGGCAGGTGGACGAGGCGCGCACATACACACACCGTGGCGGCAGGCACAGCAGCGGTACCTGATGGCCGAAAAAAGAGGGATGATTTATGGTCCTACTTCAGATACAGTCCAAGTGACAATAAAACACAATGTCTTATATGGGGAGACGAGACAGACGACAGTTGTGGAGCCACAGTTTCCTCATGCTGCGGCTTCAAACTGTCGGGAAAGAACACCACGAACCTCAAAAGGCACCTTTTCGTCGACTAAAACTAGACTAAAAGCTTTTGAGTTTTCGTCGCACTAAAACTAGACGAAAACTATCAAGGATAGAAATGACTAAAATGGGACTAAAACGAAGAAGCATTTCGTCAAAATGACTAAGACTAAAACTAAATCTAAAATGCCTGCCAAAAACAACACTGTTACTCTCTCCGTAAAGTTGCTAACAGACAAACAAACAAACAAACCAATGCTACTGAAAACATAACCTCCTTGGCGGAGGTAATAAGACTGATAAAGCCACAATGTGGAAGTGCTATGAATGAGAGTTGGTGTCAATCACCTGTAAAAAGGTATAGGCCGGTGTCTGGGTCTGGGCTGAGACGAGGCCAAAGGGTGATGTTGTAGGAGTCAGGTACCAAATCAGCAGGGAGACGATACCTGAGAGGAATATACACAAAGATTATTGAGTTGAATGAAATGATGTGTTTCCTTCTTTCATGTACGTTCTCTACCTGAAGCAACACTGCATCTAAAGGAGATCTAATTGTTGTCTGATCCTCTGTCAAGTCTTGACTTTTTGATAGCCATGGAAAACACTGTAGACTGTGTGCTTATATACACAGGAACTAATCAAGTGCAGAATCAAATGAAAAGAAAATACTTAAGGTCTCTTACTGGTGGAAAAATCAACATGGCCCAGAAGTAGCCAGGTGACAGTGACTAGGAGAATCTGAACTGCCATTAACAGGGGCAGGTCCAGACTTGAATGACAGTGGTTGTTCAACTGGGGTACTGACAAAGGTGGATCAGGTATGTGTAAAAACAGTACTTTTATATTGCTACTTACAGTACAGGCCAAAAGTTTGGACACACCTTCTCATTCAATGTCTTTTCTTTATTTTTTTAGATGAATATTTACATTGTAGATTATCACTGAAGGCATCAAAACTATAAATGAACACATGTAGAATTTTGTACTTATAAAAAAAGTGTGAAATAACCGAAAACATGTTTTATATTCTAGTTTCTTTAAAATAGCCACTCTTTGCTCTTGATGACAGAAGTACCTTGTCAGGGTTACTTCAGGCACTCCTGTGAAGTAAAAACCATTTCAGGTGATTACCTCATGAAGCTCATTGAGAGAACAGCTAAAGTTTGCAGCGCTATCAAAAAAGCAAAGGGTGGCTACTTTGAGAAATCTAAAATATAAAACATGTTTTCAGTTATTTCACACTTTTTTCTTAAGCACATGATTCCACATGTGTTCATTCATAGTTTTGAGAATCTACAATTTAAATAGTAATGAAAACAAAGAAAATGCATTGAATGAGAAGGTGTGTCCAAACTTTTGGCCTGTACTGTATATTTTTGGGGTACCCTCACTTTTACAGTCCACGGGTTATAGGCTATGTTGTTACAAATGTAGTTTGTAAGTTATTATAGAGAAACTATGGCTTGAGTATTACAAAAAAAAAAAAAACCTCCACTACAACATATCAATTCAACAAAGTAATAAGAAGCTATGGCATATCAGATTTCAAAAGGCTACTGCCACCCCTTGACACCCCACAAGACGCCCCTGGCCTTGAAAACAGTGTGAACGTGAGCGGCTTTTTAAGAAAGGTAGGGAAAAAAACTACTTTCCGTGGCTTCCCAGCAACAAGCACCAAAAATGAGATGACAGCATAACAGGACAAACTTGTGGTTTCATATTGTCCAAAATTTCCTCAAATTCTTCTTCAGGATAATTTTCAAGGCACTAAAGGGTTCCTAAAGCCTGCTTGTTTTTACTCAGGTCTGGTGATCCACTCTGGTTTAGCTTATCAAAGCACCGATAGGCTATCTAAAACAAAATATGTTTTTACACACGACTACACAACAACAGTACCAAACTTAAATCAAACTTTTAGGATTCTCCAAGCTCGGCCATTAAATTTTCTCTAGGTTTGGAAAGTACCAGCTCCTATAAAGCAACTATTTGTGACATGAAAAATATGACTAATTCCTGCAGTAAAAACACTTTTAGTCCCTCTTGAGGTTCCTTATCAATACTGGATAATGCTTTGCTTCGTCTTGCACTTGCACAACTTGCCTTGTTTCATTGAAATGGTCCCTCTTTTCAGAAAGCACACTATATCTGAGAGTCCAACGCTTCATGAAAACAGTGTCTTACCTGTCCCAAGGGGCTGTGGCATCATCTCCTGTCAGTGCAAGAGTCCACAATGTAACAATAGTTGTAATTGCAGCCAGGGCTAAAACCACACTCAAAATGCACAACTTGCTGACTCTGCATCCTTTCCCCATGTCTTAACAAAACAAAAACAGTCTGCTTTGATTCCTTCAGCTACCGCTACAGTGTGAATGGTGAAAAAAAGTCTTATCTGCTCAGCTGAACTGAGGGGATTACCAGAGCTTCACTTCCTGCTTCCTACCAAAGAAAAAAAAGGATGACAAATCAGTTGAAGAGCAGCAGTCATGGGAACACTGTGACTGAAAAATGTTGATAACCATCAAAGTTGATAAAGTGTGGGGTTATCTACAGTGATATTTTATAGTATTTACTGAATGGTCATAAACACTTTATGTTGGTGGAGCAAACACATAAATATGACGGGATGATTTTATTATCTTCAACTCACTGTGTACACAAGTCAAACTTACTTCCCTGTTAGAGAGTTATCATTACAACCATAAAGAGAGCTTCATCATAAAACCGTGTTCTTAATGACGTGCCTGTGCTTCTTTCAATAAAATAATTTCACATACAATGATCTTTTCATTGCTTGTATTTTTTAAGATTGATGCCCGAAAAGCTGATGCACACAAAAAGAGATGATGGATAGTTTTCTTTCTTTTTAAGTTGATGTTATATCTTTTTTTTATTTGTCTAACAAGTGCTGTTTTGATGGTAAGTCTGACACCTGAGGTCTGCACTGTGCAAAGTGGATTTCTTATGTCTGATAATAAATGCTTGAACGTAAACTGACGAGTTGGCTCCATTCAGGGGACAACAAGTGACATCACACACTCTCCTCATTCGAGTCCCCGAAATTCAAATTTCTCGTTGACATTGGGTTCATTTGCACGTTGGTAGCATTCTTTGACAAGGTAGCACAACTGCTCATAACACCTGTTAACAACTTGTAACATAACAAATCTTGTTATCTTGTAAAGTAACTTGTTACTTTATTCTCAAAATCTTTATTTTTTATCTTGAATTAACTCCTCCAACTTTGTTGTAACTCTTTCGCACCATGTCCTGAAGAGGATGTCGGCGTGTGCCTTGTTCCTGTTTTCATACAGTAACAGTTTTCGGGCACTCATTTTTCATAAACAAGTACGAAAAAAGATAGGGATTTGTTTTACCCATTTTCTGCCATGATGACTTAGTAAGGTATTCTTTCTTTCCCCTGAATACTTTTTTTACTGCCAGAAGAAATATCTTTTTAAAAAGTTTATTAAACTGTCTGAGAATTTCTGACCAAAAATTGATTAAAATTTAGAATAAAAAATGATTAAAAATAAGATTAAGACAAAAGCTGATCTCCTCTAAAAATGTTAGCTAAAACAACTCAAGACACAGTTTAATACGACACAAATCAACCATGGTTTTCTAAATAAAAATGAAACTGAACTGACATTCCATATCAAAATTTACACTGTGGGAGATGAGATTATATGACATAGAGTAGTGCCTGCATATTTAAAAGTTAAAATTGTTTTCTTTTTCTTTTCTTTTGGTTAAACAAAAGTTTAGTAGATTTGGTCAGAATTTCAGTATCAAACAATAAATCTTCCCCCTCCCCCTAAAGTCTCCTCAAAAGGCTTAATATGATCTTATAAGACTCCTTGTAGAGTTACTATCTGCTAAAGCACCGGGCAGTATTCTGTTCAATGTATTTTGGTCAGAACAGTGTGAAACACACAACAGGAGAATGTGAACAAGTGTATTTATTTTGTTCTCAGAACAGAGCACAATTTATGCCATCAACATTAGAAAATGTCCATTTTCTACACAAGATGGTTATCACTGTGTGTTAGGCGGTGAGCGTGTTTTATCTTTACTTTTGAATATGCAGAAAAAACCTATGGAGATATTTACATCCAGTTTATAAGATTGTACTTTGAAGCATTGTGTGAACTGTAATTTTTTGATAATGGTGTCAAGCCACATCTTTATATCCTAAATATATGTAAAAGCTCTAGCAGGGATTTTCAAAAACTCTGATTAAAAGGTGAATTGGTGAAAAATATAAAACCATTGCTTCAGACTGACCTAAGATGGTCATAACATTCAGCTTCATGAACTGAAAAAAAGCCTTCTGCAGATTCTTAACAATAAATAAAGAAATAAAAATATTGTTTGGAAGCTGCTACACATGGCTCAGACCCTTTGGGAGATCATTATTAAAAACAGATGAAGTTACAGTTCAAAAGTGCAGTTAGGAGTGACTCTGACTAAGCTGATGCTAACAGAAAGCTCTATGAGAGTGAGAGAGGAAGAAACAGAATCTTCTTCATTTGACTGTGTTTCATACTATTTCAAAGCTTTGGGAATAAGTTATTGATTTATTTACTTGTTTAAACACAGATACAAAAAAGATTCAGCAATCAAATTTTCAATGCAAACGCAATAAGATCGAGAGGATGTTCCCAGTGCCAAACAAACTACCAGTTGACTTACAGATACAGTTGCAGTTACCATGGTACGAAACCTCTTCTCCCTCCAAATACAAATTTGATAAAAAATAAAGATTGTTTTTTTTAAATTACATCAAGTACAAGTAATTACAGAACTGCAGCTGTAAATTTGTCTCATCAGAGAGCTGCTTCAGTCTTAAACCAATTCAGAACAGTCTGCTTGTTTTCTGAGATCCATTTTATGTTTGCGATGGTCCTCTCGATAGACTGATCCACAGCCAGAGTCCCAGAGCCGAAACCAGTCTCTGCATTGTCTTCTTTGAACTGCTTGAGCTGTTGGAACAAACAAATAAAAAATATAAATAGGAGATAAAGTGAGAGGGTAGTTGGGGTCTGTGATGAGGCAGTTTGAAGTCAGGAAAAAAACACTAACACCGAGGAGATTATCAGGAGGGTGCATCTATCACACAGCAATGCTACCCAAAAGCAGAGGCCAGTGGCTTTAAATTCAGACTGACTTATGACGATGAACATGTTAAGAAAAAATGTTTTGCTGCAAAAACAGTGTGAATATAACCCATGTGACTGCAAAAAAAACTGGCTTTTTAATGACTAAAATATAAAACTATCCAGGAGGAGCCATGGTGGGAGCATGGGGGACCAAGTCCAGAGACTTGAACTTTCACAGTACGGTCACCCATAAGGTGCTGACAGCCACAAATAGACTCTGCCCTGTGTGTATGTATGAGATGTCAATAGAAGGCTAGAACACAGCTTCAGTTTTCAACTGTTCAGTATGAAAACACACTTTTTAGGATTAAGATTGTAAATATGCTTTTATAGCAAACCTAACAAATAGGTAGAAGAAGTCCACCAGGGGCCAGGTAGTGAAGAAAAAGATTGGAGGAAACCCAATATGGAATTTTGGCAGTTGTTATCAGGGTTTTCTTGAACAAAGCAGCTGTTATTGGAGGGGCGGGTGGAAAACGAGTGAGAAGCATTATTTCTGTCTAATGATTAAGCAGAAGGTGTCAAATGAAAGGTAACAATGATCTACGAGGACAGACTTTGAATACAAAGAAAAAGTCCACAATGTAAATGTGGCGATAGTAAAATAAATCTCAAATGGTGACAAAAAGATCCAAAAAGTCTTACCTGTTGAAGCTCGAAGTCGGTTGAAAAGCGCTCAGTGACTCCATTGATCAGGTTGGAGAAGGAGAAGGATCCACCACCGTACCTATAAGTATAGATCATAAAGTCAGGGCCATTGATATGAAATGTGAATTGGCTGATAAAAGATCAGAAACACGCTCTTTCTTTACCTAAGATTGTAAACTTATTTCTAACAGAACTTAAGTCATGTGACTTTTTTCTCAGCCTGCATTTCATGTATCCTGCTGTTTAATACCATTTGACCAGGGCTGATCCAGAGGGGTGACCGAGGCTGGCATGAGCCCCCCTTAAAAATGCTAATGCCCATTCCTGACAAAGTCCACCCACACATGATAAACATCAGACTTCCTAACCCGTGATAATCTGTGTTATTTAGGCTTGATTTATTCATCACTCTTGATTATACCGCTGATATGCTCTGCCGTACTTATCGTCAGCGTCTGTGTTATGCTCTATCTGTCAAGGTTTATGGTGGTTAGGACCAAAGATCATCTGAGGCAGTGTTAAAATCACATGGCCGGGTCAATAAAAAACTGTAAGTGATAAAAGGCGGACTGTAAAACTGCCTATCAGTTATTATGTAAGTATATGACACCATGATGTGACTGTCCATTACTTTAGCATGTGAGAATCAGAGTTCACATACAGGTGTTACATAAAGCACAGTGCGTCTCTGAATTGTTACTTTTACTCTAACTTGTTAAACCCATTTTAGCACAAGTTGTCATGTTATGAACAAACTGTGAAGCAAAGCAGATTCCATTAACTTTATATAACTGAGTTTGTCTTATCTAATGTTTTCTGTAGTGATATCCATGTCTAACTCTGTTGCTGTATACTTACTGAGTGAAAATATAATTCCAGCGATCTCTGACAAAGTCCCAGGCCAGAGACTGACCAATAACATTGCCGGCAATGTAGACAATAGTGGAAGTGGCATCCTGTTTTCGGACCATGTCTGCATCCAGAGTGTACTCCAGATACCTGGAGGGTTAAAGCAGATCATCAGGAGGGAGCAGATGAGTGTGTGGTGGTGGGTAAATGGCTGTGATTTTTTGGTGGCGTGTTGTGTATAGTTGCATGAACAGACCTGTTAAGGAGCCAGGGCTGCGTTGTGCAAGATAGGGCATAGCGGAGCTTATCAGCTTCAATAGCAATGCTGGCGTTCTTAAACTGTGTCCAAGCAAACTCCCACTCTTCAGCGCCACCTGCTGCAATCGCATTGCAGTACACAGTGGATCTCAGGTTGGCGTGGATCCTAAAGAATAATGAAAGCTTCTGGAGTCAGTGAATCATAATAATGGACAGTGTGCTGAATGTGACACAGCCTTAAAAATGATCAAAACAGTGAATAAGTTTATATTTGCCATACTCACACAGCCAGGAACAATCAGTCTTACAGTACTGTAGCACTGAGGTTCCTGCCATCACAGTAGAAGGTCCACTGTGTGAGTATGGTCAAAGAGGGTGATTTAGTCACTCACGGGTTGACGCCGGTGGTCATCCATTGGTTGAACCACATCTTGGCCAGATTCTGGCATTCCTCAAGGCCTGACCTGCAAGCCAGGTTGATAGCATTCACCTGGTTATACCTGGAAAAAGAGGAACAGGAAGGAGATATGTTATAACAGGGGCACAACTTTTATACTGTAACATGAGTTAAAGTGAGTGGTTCTCATTACTGAAGGCAAAAACTTTACAGTACTTTAGATTAATGTATACATTTTAGTGAAATGTAATGGCTACAAATCCACCATGACACTTATTCTCACAGCAAACTTTTTCCTAATGATAATGCAAGTAAACACTAATTACAAAAGCAGGCACTAGCCAGGGGTAACGCTAAACTTCAGTAGCTAGCAAGCCCATGAAAATCAAAACAGAAATTACTGACTCAACAAGTACTCTTTATATAGACTTCGAAGGTCAAACTTGCAAGCTTCATCTTTTTCGTTGCTTCTAGGTAACAGTCATTTAGAGAAAATAAGCTGCCTCAGCATTTGCTTTCACTTACTGGTCCAAGTGTCCTTTGGGTACGTCTGTCCAGTTGCCAGTCATGGTTTTGTAGTGTTCAAACAAAGGTGTGACCTGGTTCTTCAGATATGCCTAAAAAACAATGAGGAAATGTGAGAAAAATAAACCAAAACCCAAAGGAATCCGTTTGTTTTGGTCTTTTTTGACTTGATGCTGTAATGTTAGCTGAGAAAAAGCATACCTGCATAACACCGTAAACCTCACTGCGGTCAAACATGAGATAGAAGAAGTCCAGGTTGTCCAGAGCTGACTCCCATGGCATGTAGTCCCTCTCACTGATCAGATATTTGGTTGTATTGAGAGCCAACTCGGTTAAAATAATCTTTGCCCTGTGAGATTATGAAATAAGTAAATTAACACTTCTAATCCCAACATGTATGTAGCATAGATTTCAAGAACTTATTGTAAGGAATTTATTTTAAATTGGTTTCATGTTTTCATGTACTGGTTGAATTTGTTCATAGGTTTCCACGTTTGTTGCACTGTCACAGTTCATAAAATATCTTTTCAGTAAAATAAAACAATTATCGATGAAGAAATCTGTCTTTGCAAGAAAATCATTTCCACCTTTCTCTGCAGGGTCAAAAATGCTTATAAAAATCAGATCCCATACTGCCAGTTGTGGTTTGTCTCCCCAGACCCAAGACTGTGACTTTGTATCACAATGGAAACTACTGTCCACGTAGTTTCCTGTTAGTCACCCTTCAACGACTCTCATCTATGTTTTAAAAGATTATATTCAAAATGTGAGATGACTTTTGTAATTTTCAATTATCTGCTTCCTCTCTTCTCAATCCCAGGACACTTGAAGTGACCCCATGTTGAGTATATAATCTGCAGCAAGAGGACTACTATGAGAGTGCTATTGACAGCACTGGTAACATGAGGTAATTTCAGGCTATGCTAATCCAGTGTTGCTTTAAAAAAAAATCAGAAAAAGATATAAATGCTCTTGTTGATACTAGATATAAAAAATGGTGAAATCCTTACATCCTAGTCAACATAACAGCTTTAAGATCAGCATCAAGTAAGAAGTACAAACTGAGCCAAAAAACAGGGTTATCGAATCCAGATATTTCTGTTTCAGATAAAACCTTCGGAACAGTAATCATTACTTCCAGCATGTTTCTATCACCTGTGTTACTTTACCTCGCCAAGTTGAAAGCATCATCGATCAGCTGAGCTCTGTTGATGACTGGAATAACCTTAAAAAAAATACAGTGCATAAAAAACTGTTACTCTGATCAAAACCTTTTAGAAAAGCACAGATTATCGAGATGAGTATATGTCAACAAGCAGGTGTGTCCTACTTCATGGTTAGTGCTCAGTGCATTCAGGAGTTTCTCCCAGTTGGCCTGGTCATAGTTGACTCTGTAGTAACCCACAACATCCTGGTTGGCAAGCACCCAGTCAGTTCCTGTTGTCTTCATCTCATTAAACAGTGCTACAGAAAAAATAAGAGGAGAATCATGTCATGCTGTCTCAAAACACTTATATCAAACAATGTCCTGTTTTTCCTTTTTAATATTTCTTTATGATTCAAGTTCAAATATGTTTTACTCTGAAGAAATCAGATTCCCTCTTTTTTTTTTTATTTATCTGGTAAGGAACTTGTTTGTCATGCAAACTAATTAAGTAGGGAGTTTGCAGAGCCGAACATCTTTTATCCCCAGCAACTAACAGTCCGTCTGTTGTTTGTCTGCATGCCTTACCTGATTTAACTTGTAGCCATATTGGGTCCTGGATATCTCCATTTTTCAGCCACTTGATGGGAACGATCCACTCATAGCTGCAGGAGAGAAGAATTTAGTAATGATAAAGAAAGAGTTTTAATACTTACATTGAAATCATAAATACACAGAAAGGACAATGAAAGAAATGCAGTGCACATACTTGAAGGGGGATTCAGTGGTAACTTCAGAATCTGGATCCAAGAGAAAGTGCTCTTGGGTTACACTTCCAGTGGTAGTATTTATGGTCACCACAGGATATCCCATCTGCAGCACCCAGGTGTTCATAATTTCATGGACAGTTTTTGGAAGTGACGTAGAACTACCAGTCACAGCCTGAACACAAAGAAAAACAGTAAATCATTATGACATACACTAGTTGTTAGGGGTTATGGATATCCTTGCTAGAAGCATTATCTAAATATAAATAAGACTCCACATGCCGTTTGTAGATGGTCCCATAGATCAGTGTAGATTGCATTCCCAAATTCAAATTCATCCAGGTAGGTCTGCAGAGTGAACAGAAAAATGAAACACGCAGATTATTACCTTTCCTTCAGAGGTTATCAAAATGCTGGGGTGAATCAGAACTTAGCAGGAGAAACAAGAACATACACCAGGTAAGGATTTATTCTGAAAGACTCTTTGTGGTGCCCTACAACAGATAAAGTTTACCGCTCTTAGAAGACTTTACCTGAAGTCCACGTTTAAAGACGTCTTCAGTCAGGAAATCAGACAACATCCTCAGGACAGATGCTCCCTGAGAATGAAAAGTAAAAAGATGACTCGATTTCAGGATCAGGGGTGGGACAAGTGTTCTGCTGCGGTACGTGTAAGAGTGTTCAAGAATACCTTGCTGTATGAGATGGCGTCAAACAGCTCACTAATCTGTTCAGGTCTCTGGATGTCCTCTTCTTTTGAAGACAAAGGATGGGAAGATGCCAGGGCATCAATGGCAAACACCCTGTGCACGTCATTGAGCACCATAAGGTCTTTCTGTAAGGTGAAAAAAAAAAAGACAGAATTACCCAAAACTCTCCTTGTGGCTCTACCATGATTGTTGGTTGCACCGGTTGTTGAGGCTGTGAGGTGAAAGAGAAAAACTCACCACGTTCCATTCAGGCTCAGCCTTATCTGCACCGAGGTATTCAACATAGGATGCAAAACCTTCATTCAGCCACAGGTCATTCCACCACCTCAAGGTCACCAGATTACCAAACCACTAAAAGGAGAGCACAGAAAAAGGTCTCGATTCTGTGCTGAAGCAAAATTAAATACGACACAGCAGCTCCTTTACAACAGAACGAAGAGTCTGACATGAGACCTATTCTCAACAAGGTTTTGACTTTGCTGCTATGAGTCCTGATGTACCTTATAAATTCTCTGCCATCCTTTAAAATAGCAATATAGTATTTATTATTTTATTTTTTTTCAGGAGTTCAGTTTTTTCTCTTTTAATTTCTCCTCAGCTAGACCATTTCTTGTTGTTGAACATATAAAAATTAAATGGCACAAATTTGGAAATAAAATCAAATGCCAAAAAAAATGTAAACTTTAAAATTGTCATCCAGTTTGATTTGTAAAAACATCTAATTTGACAGACATGGTGGAGGACTGGCACTTTACTTAGACCTTCAAATAAGTCTTTGAGTTTTTCTCTTATAGCTTATACAGGATCATTCCAAAACATCATTTTTGAAAGGTTGTTCCTGTTGATAAAAGATCTAATTGCATTACAAAGTGACCGACATAAAAGAGACATCATGAAGTGATAAGTTTCTATCGTTCAAAGCTTACCATGTGAGCCAGTTCATGAGAGATGATGGAGGCAATCCTCTCTTTGTTGGAGTTGGATGAGAAGTCCTCATCGTAGAGCAGAGCTGTCTCTCTGTATGTGATCAGACCCCAGTTCTCCATGGCTCCGGCATTGAAGTCTGGTAGAGCAATCTGATCTGTATGAGAAAATTGAGTATTTGTGGTTAATCATTGGTAGAGTTTCCTTGGCACTTCTCATAAGTTCATCAAACCATATATAAACTGCACCAGTGTTTGACACAGGTAGTGTGTGTAAGACTAAGGGAGCCCTGTTTTAAATCCTGAGTCTGGCTTTTCAAAGGCAGGATCCCCAACTTTTGGTCAAGCCGTAGGTGACTGGGGAGGAAGCATTACCAGTCAACCCCAATGTGTGTACAAATCATGTTTGCTTTGGATATCCTGAAAAGGCATCAAGAGACATTTCAACCCATTTCATAAATGTCGAATAAATTCACAGGAGCTTTAAAGGGGCTGAAAGTCACAGCAGATTTTGTATTAACTGGGTTATCAAGTGAACAGGATCTTAGAAGATCCTCACCTGTTTTCCCTGTCATAAAAATCGGCAAACTGATTGATACAGACATTCATGTGACTATCAGATAAGTCTTGTATCTATGAAAGCTTCACACAAACTCAAGGATGCACACTTTTTATGGCCTTGGGTTTTGCTGACGCAGATGTTTTATACAGAGGCAGCAGCAGAAGAAGTTATATTTGGGGTTGATCATAAACTCTCACATGACGTGACTGTCGCAGGTCATCCATGTTTAACTGGGAACATAAGCGAATATTTTGCACTAGTTGCAGCTTCAGCAAAGAAAAGTCCTGAAGCAACATTCAGACACATTACAGCAACAATCTCCCATGTCTTACTCTGGTCTCTGACAGTAGATTTTTTTTCCAATCTTATCCTCAGTTTTCAGAATTCTCGGAAAACTAAACAAGACCAGAAAGTCACATCAGGGCAGCTTTCTACATACACCTTGTATATGAACAGGAGCTGTACTCACCAGACTTTGGCAGAGGGTATGTGGAGTTATAATAATCCTCAAAGAACTTCAGGATGGGTCCAGTTATGTTAAGAGCATACTCTCCTTGTCCAGCAACAATGGCAGGCTTCCGAGCAAAGATACGGATCTAACACAGCATCAAAAGACACATTAATCAACATCATGCACAAGTTCCCAAAACAGCTTAAAAAACGATTCAGAGCTCTCACTGATTTTTTTTTTTTTAGAAGTATTCAGAATTTGTTTTTAAAAGGCAAATACAAAATCTAAAAATGCAGCTTTGAAAAAATGAAACTTTTTTTTTATGCATTTATCTTTGATATTCTGGACCGGGCTCGATATTTTCTCCACTTTATTCTATCTCAGTGTATTTTTACTCCTAAAATCTTAATGTGTATCATAAGCAATATCAGAGCATTCTTTGCACAGTTTAACTTACTGGAAAAAAAACTACTGATTGTTACACTTGTATTTCCAAGCAATATAATTTGGGGGTTAAAAATAGAAAATAAAAACTTTAAATTGACCAGATTAATAGATCATAATTTCTTAGGCTTCTATTCAAAGAAAACCTGTTTAAGTCTGAAGATACAAAGTCAGGGTTGCCTTAAACTGCCATAATTTTAGCTGTAGATCCCTTTTAACAGGATCATATTGTGAATAGGTTCGTAATTGTGTGGAGTCAATTATGTAACCTTGGAAGTCTATTCTACCCCAGTGTCAACATCTGCCTGTCTGCAATAACTGTTTTATTGCTTTGATAAAAACTGCAACATCATGTACAAAACAGAGTCTTTTGGTTTTACGGGATGATTGCCACTTACCAAAACCCCATCAAGGGTGCTGTTAATGTAGCCAAAGTCACTGACAATAAACGCCAGCAAGTAGGTGGACATCTTCTCAGTTGGCTTAAAAACTGTCTGCTGCAAGGTCTTTCCATCTATTGTGATTGGGCTTGATTCTGGAGAATACGTTGCAAGAAAAACAATTAATTTTAGGCGTTGTTTGATATTTTCACCCCATTTTACTTTCACAATTTTTCAAAGTTTTAAACAGTTCTACACTCTTTAAAAACTCAATACATTTCCAATAGGGGGTTTAGTAAAACTTACCCTTTTCCTCTCCATTGGATAGAGCTATTTTGTCAGTATCATGGATCAGAGTGATGTGGAAGATGGCTTTCATAGCAGGCTCATCGAAACAGGGGAAAGCCTTCCTGGCATCTGTTGGCTGCATCTGAGTTGTAGCAACAACCCTGATGGGAAAGAAACAAGACTGGTTGACAGACTGCATGTCCCACTAACCTTTTCTTTAGATTTTCAGTAGCAAATATGCACAATGACAGACACATTTGACTTAATAAAAAAGCAGACTGAGGCTTTTTGTCCAGTAATGAGATGTCCATCTTTTCCAATAGAAAATCAATTCAAACCACAAGTTCCTCACAGCAGTTTTAAAATAATGTATTTTACACATTAAGAAGTTGCTATGACAGTCAATCAACCCCACTGAGAGCTGGTTGAACCACTTAGTTATTCCAGCTGCCAGCTTCTTTAATTTAGTGCCAAGTTAACCGCTGCCATGGTCTCATGTGAGACCAAGAAATGAAGATTAAAAATGAGGAAACATTTGAGCTCAGGTCAGCAGTTCTGGGCCTGAATACATAGATACACATGTTTATGCACCATTACATGATACGCAAAGTAATACAGGGGGCTCTATTTTGGTGCCTCGCCGGCGATCTGCCGCAAGCGCAGCGTCAATCAGATCCGCCGCGCTGACAAGGCGTTCCCAAGCACATTTTGGTATTTTGGTGAGCCGCGCAGCCCGGCGTAAGTATCCCCCCTCCCTAACTCAGCTCCTCCCAGCAGCATAAGTCGTAGACGGGGAGGAGAGAGGGTGTGTAGTAGATTTAACACAGCCGAGACCTGTTTTCACCAATCACATAAGCTCCTCTCCTTGCCTTTAAATCCGCCACAGGCGAGGCGTATTACTATTTTCATGAAGTAGTCAAAGAGATCGAGAGATGTCTGAAGACGGTTATGCCACACGATGGCGACAGAGGGCAGCTGCTCAACAAGTGTCCTCCACACTCTCTCATCTGAGCACAGATGGATTTGGTGTGTGTAATGTTGGACCCAGTGGTAAGACAAACACCCTTTTCCACAAATAAAGACACTCACATAAAGTTGCATATATTCAAACCTCACGTGACAAAGGTGGGTTGAGCGCACAGATCACAACATAAACTCCAAAAATGGCATTAAAATCGGAACCATCTGTGCGTAAATGACGCATCGCGCTCCGTGGCCTGGCTCTTTCTTTCATAGATGTTGGCATAAAAAATAAATTTGGCTCACAAAACTGAATATTATAATATCCGTATGTCGGCTTAAAGTAGATAACGCATCTGAGCACTGAAACAAATCATCTGTTCAGCCGCAGCAGCAAGCAAGACGGACAGAGGACACGGAGACGTGTCCAGGTCGAGCTGTGCGAGAAATAAGAGGAAGAAAGAAAAGGAGGGAGACGCATTACATATCTTGTTAACTTCATCATGTGTGTTTATTTACTAGATATTTAATTTAATTTGATGCAGTTTCAGCTGTATTGATTCGGTCAGGTTGTGTGCCCAAACGCGTGCCAAACGTGTGCCAAACGCGCTCATCAGATCAGATATAGATCAGAATATATCGATATAGATCTAAATGTATGTGCTGACTCAGATTAATAGTTGTTGATGATTATTTATTGCACTGAAATGTGCCTGACACTGTGGAAACCTGCCGGTGAGGCATCAGTGACGTATGTCGATACGCCGCCGGTCTACCAAAATACTACTAGACCAGCTGCGTTCCGCCTTGCGCTGAAAGCTGACCAGGTTTGAATCGGCGAGCTTTCAGCGCATGTTACACGCTGGTGGCGAGCACGAAAATGTCACTGCGCCAGCTGATTCTGTCAACACCTCCCCCTGCCACGCCACCACGCCCAGCTTGGCGGATCTCGGCTCGCCTCCGTGCGACTCAGTCCACGAAAATATCAAACTCGCCTTACGCCGGGCTCCGCCAGACGAAAATACAACTGCGCGGGGCTCGCCGCCCTCCACCGCCTCACCGGCGCGAACGAAAATAGAGCCCATGGTCTTACCACTGCAAAAAAAGGTAGCTATCCAACTAAAAGCCAGATTTGATTCATTATGTCTAGAGCACAAGTTTTCTCAAAAAAGGTTTGGTGATCGTCCAAAAATTATCACTTTTGAGGTTTTTAGTAGAAAAATTAACACTTACAAATGTACTTCATGTCAGAACACAATCTTAATTTTCTTTTATTTCACAGGTTTGGTGATTCCCCCTCCTAAACTCTACTCTTTACATCTTGATTATGTTGCCTTGGAAATGTGTTGTAGTATTTCAGAGTATACTCTGATTCTTAACCCACTTACTTTTTTTTTCCATCCTCCATGTACTCGCTCCTGTAAAAGCCTCCCAGGTCATCAGCAAGCTCTCCCGTAAAGTCGGTGAAGACGTGGTACCTGTGGTCCTTAACCAGCTTACCGTTAAGCCTCAGGACCAGGTACTGTGTCTTGGTCACGGGGAATGACTCTATGATTGAGGGGACAGTGCCTCCACTGGCTGATTTAAGTGTCGCATATTGCCCATTCGCCTGCTTGGTGAAGTTCAGCTTATTGGAGTGGATAAGTATCAGGTCGGTCTCCTCAACACACACGATCTCCACCGTGGACTGGCCTGAAAGGATTTGACAGAAATTATGGAGTGATTAGCAAAGCAAAACAACTAACTTGTTTCACTGAGTTCAAAGAATTAGATATATACATGCTCAGCTTTACAACCATTTGGCCTGTTGTACCGTGCATTGTAAATGGCAACTGAAGCTCCAGCTACCTTCAAGTGTTGCTGGCCTTGCGACTTGAATTTCAAATTCTGTGAATTTGGACATATAATCATAATTCATATGTAGTTATAACTAAGATAAAGATTCATTTTTGCCTCCCACACCACCCGGGCTGGTTTCAGTTATGTGTCAAGTTCACCTGATTTCATGTAATCCCAATGGCACACCAAAAAAATAAACTACAGAAAAGCATCTATTTACGGTGTTAAAGAGGAGCCCGTGGTGTCTCATTAAAACATTTAAAGTTTAAAGTGATCTGTTTTCCATATCTGATTAAAAGCTGACATCATAGAAATACATTTTTTTATAGTACTGCAATATTTAAAGACCAAAGATAAAAGGAGAGTGTGCACACTAAATACACTGTCATGTGTAGTTAGTTTAGTTGAGATTATTCTGTCAGCTGCTGGGTTCTAATGAAATAAAAAGTTAGATGTTGAAATTGTTGAAAAGACTTTTTACTCAAGTCCTTCACTCAAAAACACACCCCAATCTTTGTTTTTACAAGTGGTAGCATCTTTATAAGACCATCTTGGTATTAAAAAAAAAAGGCCATGGCTTACACATGGGCAGTACATAAAACATCAGCAAAGTCTCAGGGACATCACCTGGTGCTTTCTGAAACCAAATTGTAAAGCTGAACAATGTCATCATATTGGAAATGCTGATTTAACCTACAGGACAGAGGTGGGAGGGTTTTTAGCCTCCTAGCTAACAGTGCAGACCCACCGTTTTAGCCAAATCGGATGAAGACCTACAGCCCTCAAAGGCTGCTTCACTTGTTCTTTTGCATTCAAGTAGGTTCAAATAAACCAACACTCCCCAGGGAAATATACTATACTTAATGGTGTGCCACTTTTTCTTAGATGCATGATTTTGGAATTATATGGAAGAAAAGTGATGCTGCCAGTGCACAAGGCACTTGGCAGTTTGAGCATGCACCCCATGTACAGAGACTGTTGCCCTGACCACAGTAATTGCAACCCTTTGCTGCATGTTTCCCCTCTCACTCTCTGTTCCTCACATTTCTTGTCTCTTTTTCAGCCGTCCAATCAATGAAGGCTAAAAGCCCTGAAAACAGAACTACCAAAAATGAATACAGTGTGCCTGAATAGAGAAATGGGCTATTCAAACCAAACCTGTTAGGGTACCATGCTGTTAAGATTCTGTATGTTTTTTGTTTCAGTGGGTTTTTGCCATTTTTGGCATTTCTGCATTGGCTTCTTTTATTTGCTCTGGAGCTTGAACACACATTCCTTACTCCCCGTGTTTGTAGAGTTAGTTTACATAGTACATACGACTGATTTAGTTGCATTGTATCAAGCCATGTAGGTCATAAAAACAGAGATAAAATACTGATTGATTGATAACATCAGCTTTAAGTATCACTTGTTTCCTTATTCATCATGCAATCTTAAAGCTTTCACCACATTTCGGTCAGTCTGTTCTCCATCCCTTTTCTGCTCCCAAAAGAAGACTGCTCTTTGGAATCATAGGTGATATTTATAAGAAAGAAACAGTGTGCCTCAAGAGTAACCAATGATATTTTATATTTCACGTCTTACCAGTAAAGATGTAGAGTCCTGTTGTTTCATTTGGAGTGAGCCATGGTCTCAAAGTGACGTTGTAATGGTCAGGCACCAGGCTCTTGGGCAGGCGATACTGGTCCCATGGGTTATCGGATGAAGGCGTTGTGACAGGGGATGATGTGACAGGAGGTTTGGTCGTCGGTTTTTCAGTAGGTGGTAAAGACTCATTATTTTTAGCCTTTTCCTGGGAGTAAACAACAGACAAGGCAATGATAGTACACGCAGCCCCTATGCCCAGAATTGAACACACTACCACTGTAGTTTTACTGAGATAGAAAACTTTCCCCATGCTGTCCACCTGCCTTAGAGCGCTACAATGAGAAAGCATCGAGGGTGCAAGGTGAAGGTCTATATGTAGCCATGAGTAGCATCTCCCCGCCCATTTGTATTCTAGGTGATACATTAACAGCAGGACTGTAAATACCTGCTACATCTGGGGAAAACCAAACGGACTCTGTTACACTGTTTAATCAAAAACTACTGAACTTTTACAAAGTATGATTCTGAACGCTCAAGCAAACCAGTATTGAACATTTTCTCAAAGCTACACTTACCTGAGTTTCTTTCAGAGTTTGGCTTTTTAAAGAGGAATATAAACTTATTATGTAAAAGGTTTCCTGAAAAATGCACCTGAATTTTTGACTTTTTTTTTGACTGTGAAACAGCTGAGTAAGAACTTTTGTAAAGCAACTTCGTTTGACCGGGTTAAAAAGATCTTTACAAAATGCACCCAGTACTGACTACCACCCACAACAACCATTCCAAATAAAAAGAAGCAGTTTTAGATTAAACAAAAGTCCAGTGTCCAAAGACAAAAGTTGAGCAATTACCATGTCACTTTTGTTTTTTTGGTTGCAGTCCCTTTAAGTTTCGATTTGATGAACTCAGTTGAGTTGTCATGCAGTTTCAAAGTTCATCATAATGTTTGGAAAACGAAAGACATTGGTAGTGGTGTCAAAACTCGCCGCAGTGGGAAGCTCAGAACAAAATTACAGACTGTGTATAACTGGCTGTAGCCTTTGGGTGTGAAGAGGGAAGATCTCACTACCTGTATTTTAAATAAAGGCAATCAGGGGGCAAGTCCTCCAGCTTCTTGAAGGTTATCCCATTGTTGATGAGCCTTACCAAAAATAGATAAATAAATAAACACATAATTTGTTCCCTAAATGTTTTATTTACTGCACTGACTTTATGATCTTAAACTCTAGTTTCTTTCTTTTTCATACAGGATGATATTCACTTTGGAAATCAGTGTTAATAATAAAGCTCATAGTGAAGTAGACACACTGTATGGCGTGGCAACCTTGTGATAAATTAGTGGCTGAGGATTTTAAACGTTTAAATGAATTTAAAGACACTTGAATGTTAGCTGCTCTTGATTCACTGAGTACATTTTGTTTGTAGGACACAGCATCCCAAGAAATAATAGAAATGTACTTCAAGATGCTCTCTGGTGACTGAAAACCAAAAATGAGTCATAAATAAATAAGCATAAATGAGAGGGGAGCTTCTTCATCTCGTACGCTTCACTTACATTCATGAGCTGGACACATAGGTAGATTAAGTTTATGGGTAGGAAAATGCACATGAACCCCGGCTTTTGTGCCCAACTTTCCAAGCTGAAATTATATATTTATCATCACTATGGTAGGTAAACAATGTTTTGTCAATGTCAAGAAACTTTTTATTAATAAACGTATAGCACATTTACTTGTTTGTGTGAAATGTTTGTGTGTCTGCCATGAATTTATAAACCTGGAGTGAATATTGTGTAATGTTCAGGTGCTTGAGGTGTGAATACAATCCATTTCGTCAATTACCGTTTTCCCATCACATCCTCCACCTTTGCACTTTAATCAGTGTCAGTTGCATTCAACATCGTCAAGAACAACACCTCACCTAGTGTGTAAACATCACGCTGGAATAGATTTGGCCTCAGATAAGTGCACAGCCCCAAAGAAATTAACAATAATTTAATATCTCATCATTACGCAAAACCAATATTTCCTGATTGTGGGGCTGTAACCTCCAAGCACATGTTTCGAAGAGGTGTGTCAATGTGGCCCTGTCCAATTGTCATACAGTCATTGTATGAAACTTACATTTATAAGCTTGAACCACAATTAGTACAAATTACCAAACTAAACATTGAATTCCTGACTGCTGTCTTCTAGCAGGACAAAAAATGAGTATAAAAACAGCCCGTAACTGTGTCAGCATTTCAGTTTCTTCTAATAAACATAACAGTGATATTTGGAAGGTGAAATTGTTAATTGCAGCTATAGTCTTGCTGGGAGAAGAAGGAAAATATGATAAATAGGAAAAGTATTTCACTGGTTAAATGGTTCAGTTGTGGCTTTTGTTGCATTAAATCTGTTTTTTCTAAAACTTGCTACTCTAAGGTTTGCCTTTTATTGATCTGCTGTGATTTCTGTATTTAATTTAGCTGTATCTTCTTTTTTTATAACATGGTTCGTTGCTCCATTCATTGTCAGTCTGTTATCAGATGTTCCATACTGGGTTAAAAATTAACAGAGGGGCAGTTTTCCATAATCCTACCATTTTATGAATGTTATTTTATGATCACCCAGCTGTAAAGCATAGCCACCATGAAGAGGAGGGGGAGGAGTTTTGCAAGATTAGATCCATCTGTGGCTCTTTAGTCTGCTGGTTACCGCATCTCCTTATCTATAGACATCACCCTCCTGTCCTTCCTTCCACCTTGAACAATTGAACAGATCTTTGTGTGTTATGTAGCTCTTTGGCAGGAGCAGGAGTACACAGAGGATGATGTTGCTGATTTGACTTGAGATATGAGTTATAAATCAATTTGACATGTCTTAACTGATGAGTTAGCAAGATTGATGCCAAAATCCAAGAAGAAGCGAAAGGGTAAAAATGAACCTGTCTTTTCTTTTTCTCTTTAACATTTGTGTTCAGGCGCAAAATTACTGGTGCACTATGATATCATTTGGGAACAAAATTTTGATACAGAAACAAATGTGTGAAAAATGATTAACTTCACAGAACACTCAGTTAGTTATTGTGTTACTTAACAGACGCAAAAGTTCAATGATGATAAATCAAAAGGTAATGAGTGCACCATAAATAAAATATCAGCGCAATTTATCATACTTATGACTTTCTGGATGTGTTATTAGACCAGACAGAGGGAACAGACTTACTGAATATGTCTGTTTAAAAGTCCTGTGAGGTTTTTGTTTTCTGGGAAGGGGGGGGTTACAAAACAGACCAAAATTCACACTACTGTCCTTTTTTATGACAAACAAAACCAAACAAGATCATGGCTAACAAAACTAACAGTTTTTTTGTGTTTCAAATCAGTGGTTGGTGTCAAGGAGCTTGAAAAAAAGCTAATTATGATCACAAAAGTGATAGATTTGACTATCAAAAGTAAGAAGGCAGAGAATTTTCTGCCAGATGTGACTTCTCAAGTGAGTGAGTAAAACAAGCAAATACTGGTTGCCCTCAGGTGGGAACAAAACTGACACAAAACAAAAGTCCCCCTCCCCTCAGGAGCTTTAATCTTTTTTTTTTTTCTAGTATGGCTATTTAAATTAACTACTTATATTTTAATGTTAAAGTTTTAATTGTTTAGCACTTTAATTAATAAAACACATATGACCCCCCCACACCCCCAAAACAAAATATGATCATCTGTATTTGTCAATATGAGATACCCAAAGCAAACATTCAAGGCGTCTAACATGTGGGAAGTCAGGTGACAGATAAAAGCCTTTAACAGTAGTCGTCAGGGGCAACTGATGGGTCCAACAGCACTGGACTTTCACCCAGAGACTTCAGCTGAAGTCTTGTGTAAAACTAAAGTAAACCTCATCGTGAGTTTCATGTGTTTCATAACTGCATGTAATCGATTTTGTGCCACACAACAATTATCTTATATCAGAGAGAAAGGAAGCAAACCTCAAAGCACACACTAACAGGGTACTTTAGAAGAGATGCTACTTTGTGTGTCTGCATGATTTTCATAAGGTTACCTGGGGCCACTGTTAGTCCATGATGTTGATGACAGAGGCATCACATCTTTAATCACACATCTGATTCAGTGGATATAAAGCTCTGATACACAGTCTTAACTTTGCATGCCACACTTGATTAACGGCATCATTCAGTGTTATTTTGTCAGGTCTTGTTTTGCTGTAAATGTATTTGTGTTGTTTGTGTGTTCTTATGCTTAAGACATAACGTTCATATTCATCCATTGTTATCATTCTTACCTTATACTTTCCCTAATGTTGGTTAAAGGAAACAAAAAGAAACAGATAATGGACCTTATTGTGACAGCCTTACAATCACCAGCACCCTATGTAGTATACAGCATTGGATTTTATGACTGCAAGGAACACACTGCAGTCTCTATTCAAGGCTTTAAAGTACAATATAACTACACATCCTTGAGTTAGGCAATGAAGATTTATGAAGAAAGACAATGAACACAGCTACAGTGTTGGCTAATGTTCATGGGTTTATCAAACGTGACATAAACTCTCTGCTGTGATAAACAGCCCCCCCCCCCCCAAGAATAACATGTCAGGCACTTCAAAAGGATTTAATAGTTTTATAGGTTGTTGTTGTTAACTTTCATATGATACAATGTCGGAGTTTACAATGGAATCAGTTAGTGAGCAGAGAACAGTCAGGTTTTACAACAGCCATGGCTATTGTGTTACCACTGGTGGCCTTGTTGTAATCTCTGTGATACTCTGATAAGGTAGCTCTGACTTTAAATGTCAGGTCAAAACCAGGATGAAAGAGTGTACTCACTGTGAAGAAACTGACTCTTTGGCAGCATTGTGTTGTACACATCCTGTTAACAGCAAATTTTCAGTTTAAGTCAGTACAACATGGAATACACAAACTGTGTACTTAATGACCATTTTTATTCGCTTTCACACCATATCCATCATCATAACCATTGTAGGTATTATTATGTGTGTAACACTGATAAGTATAAGCTGAAACAATTCTGGCTGCTGAGGCAAATAAAGAGCACTAGGACTCCATTGTTTGGCCCATGTGTTTGTTCATCTGTTCTTTGCACCTGTTTATTTTACAACCTCAATAACCTTCTCCATGGTCTGGTTTCATGGACGTAACTTCCAATTAAAAGGATTTTGAACCTCAAAGAGTCCATTAAGGGTTACTTAAGGGTTTTAATCGTAGTTATTTTAAAAAGTAGAAATAAGAAATTAACAGTTTGGTTTTCAAAATATTACTTCCCTAGATTATCACAGTCATAGTGTAGTTCAATCAGGAGAAACATTTAAAGATTAAAGAAAAACATTTGGCAATTATTAGAGTGATGCTTGACAGAAAGTCTTTTTGAGATCGTAGGATGCCTGATCTGCATCCTGAGCAGGTTGACTGTGAAGGTGCGCTACCATGGAATTGGATAAAGGTGACATTTGTGAATGGCTGATTAACCAATGACTGCCCTGAGTGATGAAAGTGAGTATACATGGTAGTGGAAAGGACACTTAAGCAGCTGTGAATGTGTCAAGATCTTGTGATATGATACAACCAAACAGCAAACTCCAGCCTTGAAAAATAAAGTCAACGTGGGAGTACTACAAATCACAATTCTGGGACTATGGTGTAGACTGTCAGTAGGTTTTGCGCACCTAACAGAAGTAGACTCATAAAAGTAGTTGTAGTACTCGAAGCCAGGTGGTAGAGGTAACTGTGGCAGTAGTTAGATGTGTTTGTTGCTGTCCTCACCCATTATTTTACATTATATTCAAAGTTGTAATACCCTGCGGTCTTTGAAACTACCTATATTTTCACAAATTAAGTTTAGTGGTTTTAAAAGTCGTACCTAATGTATGCTATTAAGGCTATGAAGGAGTCACAAATGAAGTTAGTGTGATAAGAAAGAGCCAAACTGTATAGGTTATCCCCATAGGAGGAGGCAGAGAATGGATGTCATCTGCCTGCTTGCTGGGTGAAGCTTCCTTAAGAACAGCACCCCCTGGTGCCTGGTGGTTGGTTGCTATACAGGTCATGAACCCCATTTCTCCCAGTAAAATGAATGGTGCTGTGGACAAACTTTAAAAATGAAATACAAGAGGTTTTTTTGCCCCTAGTTGTAATGTTGACATGTAGTTATTGTTAGACTGGTTTGGACCTAAGAGCTTTTTTTCTGTGCAGCCCCATTTTTAAAATTAGTACAATGGGAGGCAGAGTCCATACAGTTTCTAATTGATAGTATGTTAGTGATTCAGTTTTTCACTTTGGCTTATATTAACTTTATTGGCACTAAAGCCGGAACAATATTGCCAAAGCATGAACAATGTTACACATTGATTAAATCCATATGAAATGAGATACATAGGCTGTTTGATCCTACATGTTTATTTGATGAAATACTTATGATCAATTTCAATGAAAGATTATACAAGTTTTGCATATGTTGTAATGAATCTACCTGCAGTTATGTCACAGTTAAAGTCTTGAGACTCATTTTTCCAAGAAACCCGAAGGCAGCATGCGGGCACTATGGTCACCATAGCAACAAGACGCCATACTCTTTTACTCTTCCGGTTTGCCAGTCACAACTTAACACCTATGTCGCTGAGTTTAGTTTCTATCGAGACTTTTTAGACACTACAAGTTTGAAGGAGCCACTTCCTCAAGTGAGAACGTGAGAACAGCGACAGCTCTTTAAAAGTTCGCCGTGTCGAAGATGCCTTTGCTGGTGACAGACTACTCGTGGACACAGACAGAGTCGATGGTTTACATCAGTGTGCCTTTAAAGGGAGCCACAGTCGGGAAAGTGGACATCCTGTCCACAGACGAATACATCAAGGTAAAGATACAGGATAATACAGGCTTGACGAGGCAAACGTGAAATTACCTGCTTTAGCCACTTAGAAACCATACATATCATAATGTTTCACATGTTGCTGCGTCGTTCGCGTTTTTCCAGGCTCTTTGTTACCTAGTACTCATGGAGGATAAGGTAAAATAGGCCTAATTAGTCTCAAAAGTTTAGATGTTTACCTTTTGAACCATCTCTGGTGTTTCTCCATATAATTGCTTAAATGATTCCCTCGTCCTTGTCTTACAGGTGCATCACCTATCACATGTGCACGTTTTGAATGGGCTTGTTTCTCTCAGTTTGAATATGCAAAATTCTTCCCACTTTCTTGTCTTGAAGGTCCATTACCCACCATATCTGTTCGAGGCCTTCCTGTTTGAGCCTGTTGATGATGCCAGAAGCACAGCAAAGGTCGGAAATGGAGCTGCAGTGATCTGTTTGCCAAAGAGGACCAACAAAATATGGGAGCATCTAGTGATGGCTACAGGTAAAAGAAACTTGCTCACATTGCAAACAGTGGTTCACATTGTGTTGTATGTCCTTCTTCTTGAAAAGACATACAATGTGAAGAAATGTGAAATGGAAATGTAAAGACAAAATCCAATAACAGATTATATTTTTTGTCTATATGGTGATATGAGCATCTGCTAGATCAGTGGTTCTCAAGTTCAGTCCTCGAGGCCCACTGTCCTGCATGTTTTGGATGTTTCCCTGCTCCAACACACCTGATTCAAATTATCAGCTCGTTATCAAGCTCTGCAATGGCTTAATAACGAGCTGATCATTTGAATCAGGTGTGTTGGAGCAGGGAAACATCCAAAACATGCAGGACAGTGGGCCTCGAGGACTGGACTTGAGAACCACTGTGCTAGATTAACATAATTTTTGTTTGTTTGTTCTTTGTTTGAAGGTTTTGTCTGTTTTTGTTGTTTGCATCCTGGTACCAAAAAATGTATATGTATATATTCCTTTGGTGGGCAAAATGACTAAAAGTGTAATTTGTTCACTTCGTCCTGGTCCATTCAAACGTTCTAGCCACTGTTTCCAAACAAAAATACATGTAATTTTGATAATAACTGCAGTTATTATCACAAACCAGGGGAGGAATCAGGTATTCCTTGTCTTTGTAAACAACTGAACTGTGTTTATTGAATCAACTTTCTTCAGATGATAAAGAAACAAAGAAAGTGATCAGAGAGAGGGCTCTGTTGAAATACCAAGAAAAGCTTTCTTCAGAGTCTAAATCCAAAGCAGAAAAACAGCATGCAGAGAAGAAGTTTGCACTGGAGACAATGATGAAGGTAACATATTCAGTGGTACAACCTTTAATCTCCAGACATGTGGTTTCACATTTGAAGGACTCACATAAAGACTGTTATACTCATTTTCAGCTTGAAAAGGAGGAAAGAGACAGTATCCAGAAAATGAAGGATGCTGAGCGAGAGAGAACCACAACAGAGCTGGCAGCATGGCAGCTAAGAGAGAAAGAAAAGTTGGAGGAAGAAACAAAAGTGAGACTCCAAAGTCAGAGAGAAGATCAAAACAGAGTGAAAGTTGTGACGAACAAGCAGGAAAAAGGATCTTCAGGTGGAGGAAAGGTCAAACAAAGTAGGTACATGTCCAGTGTGGTCAAAATTTCTCGTACATCTGTTGAATTTAGTATATCAATTAATATATTATTGTGTGCAGCTCCAAAAAGTAACAGTGTAGACAGTCCCAAGAAAAAACAAGTGGACCTGCCTGCTCCAAGAAGTGCTGGAAACATTCAGGTCTCATTTACTCATCGAGTTTTCCCAACAGCCCTCAGGGAGTCAAGGATTCAAGAGGAGGAAGAGGTGAGAGTGTTTTATGACTCTTTGTTATCTACAAGTTTATCCTTGAGGCAACACAGTGAGCATGATATATTGAGGGATATTAAAATCAAATTGCTCAGCACATTAAACATGCAAAGATTCCCATGAGTCACCTTAAAAGATGTGAGACCATTGAGACAAGCAAATCTAAATAATATGGGGGACAGAAATCAATTTTCTTTTTATTTGTGTTTAGCACTGAAAAGCGCACGATGAGGTCAAGTTGCATCTTAGTTATAGAGTTGTGTTGCAGCACAGAATTTTATTTGCGTAGAAATAAACAGTAATTTAATCTATCTGCAGAGACTTTTTTGAAGGACCTGAATGGGGCAATTTCTAAAATTAAAACCTTGCCAAAAATAACATTTTAAAAATGAAATTGTTCTCTGATTTAAGCCTAGAGAAGGAATCAGCACTAAGATTTGACTTTATTTTCTAACAACCAGTGGCTCCAAAGGCAAGCTGAGGCAAGGCGTGCATTAACTGTCAATATAGAGGAGCTGACGGACCTGAAGGAGGAGCAGAGGAACCATGACTGGTTGAAAGAGAAAGGAGAGTGAGTAAAGTAAACTCTTTCTCCTGTTTTTCAGTCCTGTGTGTCTTCAACATCTGAATAACCAAATCTACTATTCTCAGCAAATGTTTTATGACTGGAGACTACCTCGGAGCAGTGAACGCCTACAGCCTGGCTATCAGGCTGAACAGAAAAATCCCAGCTCTGTTTTCAAACAGGGCTGCATGTCACCTGAAGTTAAAGAACCTGCACAAGGCCATTGAGGACGCTTCTCAGGTCTGTAGCTTTACATTATCTGTATTCAACTGCATACCACTGCATGTTGGGTAATGAATAAAGCTGTACCTTGTTTGTTAACTGTTTCCATGTAACAATTTTTGTATGTATTCTAGTTATCTGAAGCTTTGAGTTTATAGCTTTATGTAAAGTAAACTTAAAAAATCCTGTTCCTCTATAGGCCCTCGATTTGTTGACTCCACCAGTTTCTGCAAACGCAGCTGCTAGAGCCAGAGCCCATGTCCGCAGAGGATCTGCTTTCTGCCAGCTGGAGCTCTATGCAGAAGGTATGAACAGCAACTGTTATCTTGGTGGTGTAGAAATTTTTATTTTAAAGATGAAACCACACAGTTCATATGCTGGCAGAGTTAGGATTTATCTCTGTGGCATGTTATTCAGTAACATGTCATGTGTGTCCTCAGGGTTGCAAGACTACCAAGCTGCTCTGAAGATTGACCCTCACAGTGAGGCACTGCAAGCAGACACCCAGAGAATCACAGACATAATACAAGGCACAGCAAAGTGAGATGCAGCAAGAATCTCTGATAGTCTCATAGTTGATAACTCATAAATAAAACTATTGCTCATTTTTAACCATACACTGTTAAAGAGTGGTAAGTTGTTTCAACTTCAAATAAAGTGATCTAGTTGTGTTCATTATTTTGAGTTATGACCACTATAGTGGTCTAGTAGTTCCAACATAAAGATATTAGTTCAGGGCACAAAGCTTACTAGTCCCTTCAACTAGTGCAAGTTGTCCTGGCAAAAAATATTTAGTTTTCCTAACAATTATGTCAAGTTTTGACAGCTAATATTATGTTTTCTCAGTAAATACTACTAAATATTCCCAATAAAATGTCAAAGTTTTATCAGTATGTATTTATGAGAATGTATCCATTCAAGTTCTAATCACTTTATCTCATGTCATGTCAACTACTTCCATGTTAGAGCCCAATATGAAACAATGACCTGATATGTAATGACGACCCAGAATGTTTTTTAAAAAGATGAAGCTCAAAATGTAAAAGTTTGTCAATAACATAACAAAAGTGTTAAGCCTGAAATGTAATAAAAACAATGTAATAAAACCCAAAATGTAATAACTGACCCAAAATGTAACAAGTTGTTATTTTGTAAGCCAAGAAGTTACTACTACAGGCTCAGCATCTTGTTACATTATTGACCAGTCATTACATTCGGGTTTTATTACATCTTTTTTATTGCATTTTGGCTCATTGATATATTTTGGATCATTGTTACATATTGGACTATAACATGCCATCAAATTGTATTGACTAACACTGACTATTTCTTTGACTGCATCCCAGTCGTATGTTGAATGGAAGTTTTAATGGAGGGGCTACACTTCATTATCAGTATGCACAGAGCTCCCTCATGTGGTCGGATTTTGCACTTGTCATTGACACAGATGAAAATACAGTTTTTACTCTGTTGCTTTTACGCTTTGTGTGTAGCAGCTACCCATCCTTGTGTTGGATAAAATAATTCATATTCAGTCATCTTCAATCATTTAACATGTATTGCCACAAAAAAGCCAATGAAGACCAAAGTCAAGTGACTAAACGAGACAGCAGTTAGGTGAAATGAGTCTGGTTAGCTATAATAATTAAAATAAAGAGATCTTCCTGTTAGATTTTACACCAAAGTTACTTATTTTAAACTGACAAGGTCCTCATAAGATTTAAATCAAGTAAGTTTAAGCTACATACACTTGAATTAAAAATGCTGTAAAGCAAACATGTATTGTCACAAAATAAAGGCCAGTATACAGTGCATGTAAATTTCTTGTACAGTATCTGTGTAAAAACTGCTTTGCACAGTGATAAATTGTATGAACTTTATTTTATCTTGTGAGCTGGGTCAAGGAACACAAAATTTAAAAAAGAAGATACAGAAAAAAATGACATTATGAGAGCTCGATCAAAAATATTCACTCTTGTCTTTCAAGTAAAGCTGATGGGAGGAGTTTTTAGCTGGTTGTGGAAAAAACTGGATCTAAATTTGATACCAGTGCCTCTTAATGACCTACAAAAGTGAACATAACCATCAGAAACAAGACTGATTATTTAATCTTTGTACTTTTCAATACCAGAAACAGCTTTATTTTTTTTAACAGAAAATACCCACATTAGGTGATACCCTTAATTCTTAAAAGACAGCAGAATGGGAACTTTTGGACATGAAACATTACCTTAAGTAAAGAAGAATAAAAGCCAAGAAATGAGATGGACATCTTTGCCCTCAAGGAGACACCAACATCATTATAAACATCACAGTAACTTCACTGTAAAAGCTTTAATATACTGTACATGTGATACTGTGGTACTACATCAGTAAAGAGTTTTTACAATGAAGCCAATGGCTTTGGCTCTGTAGTAGATTTGGTTGTCTCTCAATCTAAAGGTTGGCAGTTTTATCCCATTTCCTGCTGTCACATGCCAATGTGTCCCTGGACAAGACTCTGCAACCGAAACTACACCTGCTTCCCCTTTTCTTTTACTAATTATATTCCTTTGATCAGTTTTCTAGTTGCATCCAGCTTTCGATCTCTCCAAATGTATGTATAAAACCAAGCACTCACTCAAAACTTTTAAGACAGCTTTGTGTACCGCCACCTTAACTTCAAAAGTTTAGACATTTGGTGAAATATTAAAGGGAGCTATAAATTCAACAAAAAACTTATCTGACATTCAAAATTGAGAGTTACTAAGTGTTGCACTTTTTAGTACATAGAAATAAAGCAACATATTTTAGCCATAATAAGTTAATTGTCACACTTTATATAAGCCTATGTCTGTATTTTATATAGGTGAAATACTATAAAAATTAAAAAATTAATTAAAATAAATTAAATTTAAATGTTTTATTGAGTGCTCTGCAAATGTGATGGATCTAAACCACCTCCTTTAAAACTGAAGTCAATTCATTTTAGACAAAATTCTGCCATATGAAATGAAATATGATCCAGGAAAAACAATACATGAATACAAACACATTATTTTACATAAATGAAAGATTATAATTACATAAGAATTATAAAATGTAGTAAGAGCAAGACACAATCCACACCTCATCCCACCCCAGTCTTCGATTGTAAACGATTCACTTATAACACATATTGGTGGACCAGAGAATGTAAGCAAAAAATGCAGTGTTTTTTTTTCCATCACTTAATCTGGTGATTTAGAGAGAGAGAAAATGATATCAGCTTTGTTAAAAACACATCTCATGCAGTAACAATAATGTATACAATAATCTCTGTACAAATCATTTCTGTGATGTTGACAATCACAGTCTGAACTTCTTAATGACATAACTGAGTGGTATCTTTAGATTTGGCAGATTTGTCCTCTGTAAGTGCTAGCTGTAAAAACTTCTCTTGCGGCTCTGGTCTGCGGCACTCTGCTGGAGCATTTACAAAACTCTCTCTCAAAGTCATTTAGACCCTGAAATGTGTCAAAATCAAGTGGAAGTTTAAAAACTCCCAGTACCTGAATTCTTCCTGCATCATTGTTTGATTGTTAGAATAAACTAAACAGCCTGAACATCCCCTTCATCAGAAACTTTCATTTATTCATTCATAAAAGTTTGTGACGGGGTTGACGGCTCACTCCTCCTCTACATTCCTTCCCCCTTGTAACGTTAAACTTAGACTTGTAGAAAAAGCCTTTTTGATGTGAATCTGAAGTGCAAATTGAGGTCAGCTGATCAGACCACACAGTGGGTCAGGACCCAGTGCTGCTGGGTCATGGGAGTGCTGGTGTGAGTGCCCATTAGTTTCTGGAAAAAGTGTGAGTTTGACGCTTAAGTCTAACCTCAGCTCTGTTTAGCAGCTCTAATATTCAATCTAAGCCTTCTTGAATTCCTTGGACATGACATAATATAGACTCATAACATAATGCAGCTCGTAGGGTATTCCAGCTTTGAAATGTGGCTCAAACAGAAGAGATTTTTTTTGTCTGTCCACTGATCCAAGCAGATCAGAGCTTCAATCCTGCCAAACATGTGAGTGAGACTGTGAAGTAGCACTTGAAACCCGCGGCCACACACCCTGCCCTCTGTCAGTGCTCACAATTGTCTGTAAACAACCCCGCAAAGCCGCTTTCCTTAATTTTTTTCTTCAACCAATTTTCTTTTATTTTTCTAATCTCCTAATCAAATGTGCCAAAGCTCCCGAAAAGAATTAGGAATGGTTGAAATTCGGCGTCAAAAGAATGGCATCATTAAGAGGCTTTGATTTTTAAAGGAGCTGCATTGTGGCAAGTTAGTTTGAGTGAATGACTGTCTTTGAACCACTTCTCTAAGCGTTTGAAAAGACAAACTCAATTGCAGCATGTATAGACAAGCAAGAGACATGAAGTGTTATTACAAAAGAGTAACGCCAGGGCTTTAGGAATGGAGCAAATGGAGGCGCAATGACCAGGTCCTGCTGGGTGAAACACTGAACTAGAATAGGTGGACATTTTTAACAAAGATTTATTCTTAGAGGAATGTAAAGAAAAGACACATTTCTATTTCCCTATTTACATTGTATAGAATAAAAAGCTGTTAAGTAAGCCCAACTATTACCTTATTTCTAAATAAAAGGCCTCTTGATCAGTTTGGAAAGTAGGCATGATTTACTAATACTTCCAAGCTAGTTTCTTGTGGTCTAAAGCTGTGTAGTTACACAGTGAAAGCCGAATATATCTATAGATCAAATATGATTTTTAATGTTGATTAAACTTCTGTTTCTACTGTCAAAGGTTACTATTTCCTGATACTGTAGTAGGAAAAAAGGAAAAAAAGCTGTTTAAAAAAAAGTCAAAAACTGTTCCTTCTGTCTCCCTGTATCTCAGGGCACATTGAACAACACGATTACCTCATGAGCTGGTTGAGACCAGAATCAGATCTGAAAAGGATAACAGCACAGATCCAACTTCAGCGATCTTGTAAGATATATAAACAGGAAACTTTTACACGAGTATTTTAACGGCAAACTGCAGCAGGGTTAAGGACTATTGACCATTGACCCCAAAATGTTAACTGCAGTCTGCCTACGCATTGCTTTGAATAGTTCTTGCAACACTAAAACTGCTAAATGTGTGGTCTACAGTTTAAGTAGTTTAAATTACTTTAAGGAGGCATGTTGCAGTGAGAAAATACATGCTTTTCTCTTAAAACCACTGTGAACTTACAGGTTAACACACAGCCTAAAGGTCATCAACCATGTCAGCTCATGTGCAGTAAATTTTTGGGAATATCTTTTTGCTGTATGTTCTCACAGATTAAAAAAAACTGTCATCTGCTTTTGTTCACACATGCAGCCCACCTAAAAAATATAGATATGAGTTTCCAATAGTTTTACGCCTGTGTGACCACCGCTACACAGATCATTTATTGGCCTGTTTATTGTAGGAGAGTTTGCAAATACATGATGTCCTCTCTTCAATATCATTTCCACCATCCTTTTTTCTTGTGGACAATGCAAGCTCAAGCTCAATGGAGCATTTTCTTTTCTCAGTAAAAAGAAAAGAACATTAGCCAACAGAAG